TCAGAGAACCCCAGGGCTTTTAAATGTGTCAGCAAGCACACACTGCCAGTGTTTTATTGCAGTAATAAGAAAGCATGGATGACCCTAGCACTGTTTGAGGATTGGTTCCCGAGTTGTTTCATTCCACAAGCCAAGGAGTATTGTCTGTAACAAGGGATTGTGTTCAAGATTTTATTAATTTTAGATAATACTCTGGGACACCCACCACACCTGGATGACCTGCACCCTGATGCTAAGGTAGTTCTACCTTCCACCTAACACTACCTCTATCATCCAACCCATGGATCAAGGTGCTATTGCTGCTTTTAAAGCGCATTATTTACGGACAACCTTCGCTCAGGCTATTGCTGCTACTGAAGGTGATAAAATGTTCAGAGAGTTTTGGAAGGACAACAACATTTTGCAATGTACAAAGAACATAGCTGCAGCATGGGATGAGGTTACAGGTCAGTGCATGATGGAATATGGAAGAAAGTGCTGAAAAGATATGTGAACAGTTTCAAAGGATTTAATGAAGATGAAGCAATTTCTGAGATTAGTAACAAGATAGTGCAGATGGGTCAACAGCTGGAGTTAGAAATTGATAATGAAGATGTTGAGCAGTTGGTGGAAAGTGTAGCAGAAGAGCTAACTAATGAGGATCTTATTGAACTGGATGCACAGAAAATTGAAGAGGAAGAGGAGAGACAAATTGTAGAAGAAGAACCTGCATTCCCCAAAAAGTTTTCAGTGAAGCAAATGGCAGAGGCATTTGCTACTACTGTACTTGTATTAATAAGGGGATGCAAATGTTTGAAGAAATGGATAAAAATGTTGAGCGTTTTGCAAAAGTTGACAGACTGATCCAAGATGCACTTATTTGCTACAGGGAGATTTACAATGAAAAGAAAAGGCAAACTGTGCAGTCTAAATTGGACATATTATTTTTGAGAAGTCCCCCACTGCTGTCTCCTCACGCCCCACCAGTGCTGCCTCTTCACTCCCTAAAGATGATCCAATACCTTTAACAAGCAAGTATGTTAGCCTGTCTGAAGAAAGCAAACTTGATGACCCACCCAGCCCGGTCTCCTCCTTTGCTTCATCCAATTAATGTAGTCTACATGCTTACCATAATTAAAAAATTATTGAAGCCCCGTGTGCATTCAGCTGACTACATTAAAGGTAAGTGCACAGTAACACTTTATTCATTTTTCATTATTGATTACTTTTACTGTACTGTATTTTATTTTAGAATTTCTACTTATTATTTTCGCCTTTTCGACTTACGACCTGGTCGTCGGGACGGAACCCCGTCGTATGTCAAGGAGAGACTGTATTCAAAACTCATAGGAAATGAGTTCGTTGGTGATATAAAGTCTTGTTTTCTTATACAGTCTCTCCTCGACTTACGACGGGGTTCCGTCCCAACGACCAGGTCATAAGTCGAAAAGGCCTCGAGGTGCCTCCTGTATGTGACCCATGTCTCGCTGCCACATAGCAGGGTGGGAGGACCACTGCTTGATATACAGTACGTGCACACACACACAATATACACACCTGGTGTACTTTCTTCTATTGTTTAATATTTTATATTATTAATGATGAAACATACACTTTAAGAGGCTGATCATATGAGAATATAATGAATAAGTAAAAACAAACGTGAACACGGCAACAAATAGTCCCACCACCACCACCACCTACAGGGAAGAAATTACCATCTAATTGAGATTGTAATTTTATTTTAAGTTGAATTATATATTTTATTTTTTCTATTGTTTATTACTGATGTTATATTATTTATGACGAAACTTACACCATAACAGACTGATCATATGAGAATGCTGCATAATAATGAAGAAATGAAAACAAACTTGTGATCGTGCCAATGGCCAGTCCCCCCCCCCACCTCCGTGTTCACACATCCAGTGTCACCTCATACCTACTAACTATCATTGGGCCTATATCAAATGTTATTAGCCCACTATACAGTATCCCCATTAAAGACAATACAGTATATATTTTAAAAATAAATAAGGTAATATATTAAAAAAATATATACTGTATATATACTGTATATTTTAATGAACTGTCATTAAACAACTGCATATTTGGAGATATGTTCCTGACGACATTTGTAAAGGGCACAGGTATTAACACAGATTATTACAGTAACTAATGTTTACTAATTAATGAATAATAAATAAACAATATTGTATCATGAGTGACAATCATTTCATGAATAGCAGTGACGATTGTAGTATGAGACACAGGCAGGTGGGATGCAGTGGATATCAGATGGCTCTGCTCTGGCTGAAACTAATCCATCTCTACATCACTGAAATTATGATTTAGGTGGTGATAATGGATGAAGTGGTGATGATGAGGGTGGTGGTGATGAGGAAAATTGAGGTAAGTGGTGAGGAGGTGATGCATCTATCAGTTTCTTTGGTGACACTACACCTGCAGCACTGTCATATGCTATTAAACAGCTGATAACTACCCACAAAAGTAAGAGTAAATACAATATAAATGAGCACCATTGTAGCCCTTAAACATTATGTTACATAATATTTTAAAATATGGAGAGAGAAAGGAGAAAGGTGTGGGTGATTATAGAGATGAAGTGGAAAGTAGTGACACCAAGTGCTTCTCAAAAGCTGTCTTTTAACCCGCCACCACGAAGTCACACACTTGTGCATCAGTTAACATAAATATATTTCATACAATAAGACCAACACTTATTATATTATAAAACAAAGCACTAAACCAGCAACACATGACAACAGCAGTCGTCACCCTCACTCAGGATGCATTGCTGTGTTCATTCCCATGTTGGGGGAGTGTGGGTGGAGTTGGAAGGTGCTTGTGTGTGTGTGTGTGTGTGTGTGATGTTGGGGTATGTGGGTGGTGTTGGATGGTGTGTAGGTGGTGGTGGGGTGTGTGGGTGGTGGTTGGGTGTGTGGATGGTGGTAGGGTGTGTGGGTTGTGTTGGGGATGTGTGGGTTGTTTTGGAGGGTGTGTGAGTGATGTCGGGGTGTAGGCGCGGTGTTGGGGCGTCGGGGGGAAGGGGTTAATGAGTGGATGCCTAGTGCACAGTAGCCCCCAGAGCCCACCCAAAAAAATTAGTAAAAGTCAGGACAATTGGCAAGTCAGGACCCCTCTCTTTCCCCCAAAATTGTCGGACTTTCAAGATTCTACCGAGTGTGTGTGCACACACACGCGCGCACACACACACACAAAACCTCACTAGTTGGGAATCGAATCTTGGACTTCTGCGTGTGAATAGGGATCGCTACCACGGGGCCACAAGGACAACAAAAGCAATCATAGGCTTCATTTTATTTCACTTTAAGACTGTTCATTCATCGTATTTTTAAGCAACGTGAACTTCTATGGGAGATTGCCCATGCCAACTATGTGGTCCGTGTGTATATGGACGATTGAGATATATATATGTACTCGTGTTTCCTAGCTGGAGTCAGTAAAATGCTACTATGACCACATACAGTACTGTACTTAGCACAGGCAATCCCGGATAGAGGTTCATGTTGCTTAAATATGTATATATATACGTATATATATAGCTAGACCAAGGGAATAGAAGCAATGAAACGGAGAAATGGATGATGGAGAGGGAGTGAAAATTACTCAAGATTTGTTTTTTAGGGTAGTGATTACTGTACTGGAGTTTCTCCAAGGAAAACCATCATGGTATAACAATTTTGCCTTTAAAGACAATATATACAGTGGAATCTCGATAATTCGCGGGTTAGGAACCAGAAGACAGCGTGAATTATAGTTTAATTGATTTAAATGGAAATAATTAGTCAGGTTCCAGGCCAAAAATACACATAAAATGTTCCAAAACTGCTTTAATAAACACTAAATATCGTACATAATACAGGTACATCAAAAAATACAGCAACAAGATACAGTATTGAAGAAAAAATCACTCTCTGGGTAACACCATTACACCAAGATGGTGCCAGGGCTGGCTGGCTGGCTGGTCAGCTGTTCACCTACAATGTAAACAACTCACCAGGAATTTAATACAACTCAAGAACTCATCTGGGGGTGAGTGTGGGATTTAGTTTTTAAGAAAAATTATTTTACAATATTTTTTTTATTAACCTGGCACCAAATGAACCCAATTACAGGTAGTTCTGCTATAACGCGATAATTGTGTTCTTGTAAAATATCGTGTTATAGAAAATCGCGTAATAGAAATAACAGGGCTTATGGAGAAAATAGGGTTAGGTGCAGATTACTCGAAATCGAAAAAATTTAGTAGTTAGCCTAACACAAAGGATAGCACAGTCTAAATAAATGTTACATTCATATCTAATAATGAAATCATACAGTAAATGTAACACTTTACTTGATGGGGGAGAAGGGTGATTTTGAGGTTGATAAAATCGAGCTTCTCTTCAAGTGTTATATCCTTTCTTTTACGATCATCACCGGGAATTCTATCACCAGAACGCTTCTTGTTGATATTCTTCTTTACTATATTCACAGTTAATATACCACAAAATTGGAGAAATAGTAAGCAAAAATCGCGTTATAGCAAACAAGCGTTCGCGTTATACAAATATCGTTCCTAATTCATAAATCGCGTTAGAGCAAATTCGCGTTATCAAAACGCGTTATAGCAGAACTCACTGTATGGTGAAATTGCATACTGTTGTTATAAAGAGGTCAAGACTTGGGGAATTTCCGTGGAGTTCAGCCAGCCAGCCACCTGCCCTACCTCCCTCGCACAGAATATATTCCCTCTTTTCATTTTTGTCTTATTTATACTTTATTATACTTTTTATTATTTTTAAGTCACATTACAGCACTATGATACTTCCACAACTTTTATGGTTTTCTACGTAAATAAACACTGCAGTAGTCAGGTCTCGGCTGTTAATTCTGAATTCTCGACCGCGAAATTTAAAAAGATGCAGTGCGGGTATTAATAGAGGTACCCGCGAATCTAAGAATGTGAATTTGTATTTTGCGAATTATCGCAATTCCACTGTACTGTACATATTTCCTTTGGATTTTTTTTTTTAAATGTGTAATACTCTCACATTTGATTGTTTAGTTACTTTTTCTAGAATTCCTCATCATCATTTATGGGATTAATTGAGAAAATAAAACTCTTCTGTTTGGAAAGCAGTGGAATGGTAATTCTGATGGGCTTTTTTGGTAATGATGTGGTTGGTTCTTCCACCTGCAGATTTCCTGTATTTTTTACTACATTACTGCTGTCTTTAGATGAACTGGCATCAAACAAATTTGAACTGGATGCTGTTTCATAAAAATTTTTGCCATGTATGTCTACAATGTTTTCAGAAGACTGAGCAAGATCTAAACTCAGTGAGCCAGAAAGTGTAGTAGGAAAAAGATATTCCGGACTTTTATAATCTAATATCATACGATCCTCTGATGAGGTGGGCTTCGAGTCTTTACTGGGTGATGATGGTAATGACAAACAATCTTTAATTAAGCTCTGACTTAATTTTGGACCTGATACTTGATATGAACTTTCAGAATTATAGGTTATGAATTCACTATTACCACAGGCAGAACCTTCTGTTGATGCCTGCCCTGTGGATGATGCAAAATCTTCTGTATTTTCTTTCGACATTGCCATTCTTCTACTTGACGGTGTAACCAAGCTTGAATCTGATGAAGATATATGCTTTGAAGCTGTGAGCTGGATATCATTTACAGGTAACCTTTCTTTAACTGTAACTGATGAAGGTTCTACTTCAGCTACAGAATCTGTGGATGCTGCTGAAGACTTCTTTCCACTAAGACATGGTGATGATGGTAATTGAGATGCTATGTTTTGAGAAGATGCTGCCTCTTGAGAATGTGGAATATTATTTTCATGAAACACTGGAGATTCAGCAACTAGTGAGACATTACTTGAGTATATTGCTTGGGATACACCTGGAGAGAATTTCTGTGGAAAACCGGAGGACAAAGGGTTTTGCTGCTCGGTATGTGATTGGTATACTCGTGAAGATCCTGCACAACTGACAGCTGGGGCAGAAAGTTCAGAATTCTGAGAGAGTGATTTAGAGGCACTTAATATAGGATCATCACCTTTTCTGAGTTCATTCTTTGCATGTACATAAATACTTAGCAGCTTCTCATGTGATACATTTGAGTATCCCTGATTGCCTAGAGATTTTTTTATGATACCAATGGACTCATTCACACCTTTACCAATTATGAGCCTAGTTATGTTGCACATGTCTAGGCCCATAAATGGAGATCTTCTCTCCTTAATTTGAAGTAATATGTGACTGAAACGGTCATGAAGTTCTTGCAAGATGACCTTCTGGACTGCTGTCAGGCTCTCATTTTCTAAAAAAAAATTGAGTTTTTCACCCAACTTCTCAAAAAATATATAGTTTTCCTCCTCCTCAAGGACCTGATTAGAATCCAACTGCTGCTCCTTTAAAATGACAGCTTTTTGATAAAGTGTAACAAGAGGTTCCTCTAAGTCACCAAATCTCTCTTTCATATAATTAAACACTTTCAAAATATCAACAATTTGAACTGCACCGGTTTCTTGCACAATCTGATCCTGTGAACCCACAGACATTAATGACTGGTCCTGAAGCTCACCTGTGCAAAAAGAACTGACTTCCTTAGATCTTTCTCCAGGGTCTTTATTTCTTCTGTATCTCTGGATGTTCAACTCTAAATTCAAATCCCCAACTTCCTCATCATAATTTTCTGCAGGCTTCCAGTATTCTGTCTTCTGTTTATCCTGTTCGTTTGCAGACACATTTTTATGTCTTGAATTATGTGACTTTTTCTTTTTTACACGTCTCTGTGATCTTCTATTCTTATCTGAATCAGTATTGTCATCTGATGATGAGGAAGATGATGAGGATGATGGTGAATCTGCAGAAGACCCTGAGCTGGGTTGACTGTTCTTTTGAGATATAATATTTATACACTTCTTTTTTTTCTCCTCCCAACTTTCCTCAAGTAAAGTGTTCATACGAGGTGGCCAGTACTTCCTCCACTCCCCATAAAAGTCAAAGGTATCTGGATCACCTGTCAATTCAATAATATTCTGTCTCTTTCGGCAAAGGAACACTTTATATTCTTTACTGTAGTCCGGGTGGGCATCTGGCTTCTCAAGGTACAGCGAGCATTCACGTTTATGTACATCGAGGAGGGTCAAAAGAGCACGACGAATGACAGGATCACTTTCCATCTTGCATTGTTGCTTTACTTTATCCAAGGTATTTCTGTATATACCTATAGGATCAAAATCCCTTCTGGTGTGTTTTCTTGTCTCTTTACTGGCATGTCTGTAAAGAGATTCATGGCTTAAAAAAAAAACAATGACAAAGAATCAAAATATTTCACCAGCATGTCTCAATCATTAACTGAACAGATGATCAAAATCGAAGTAATAAATAAGGTGTTACACCAATCACAGGACAGGAGAGCAAAAGAGATATATTAAAGATGGTGTCATACTAATCATAACCAAAACGTGTACAGTACTGTATTATAAATGGTGTTTCCTGTAGGGTGTTAAAGTCACAAGACAAATGATCAAAATATGCAGTAGAAAGGTGTTACACTGATCACAGATGATTAAAAAAAAAAAAATAAATAAATAAAATTATATATATATATATATATATATATATATATATATATATATATATATATATATATATATATATATATATATATATATATATATATATATATATATATATATATATATATATATATATATATATATATATATATATATATATATATATATATATATATATATATATATATATATATATATATATATATATATATATATATATATATATATATATACACAGTGACCCTCGTTTAACGAACTGCCTTCCATAAGGATCTTCAATTGGTTAACTTGAAAGTTCTTACGAACCGACCTCAACATGTTTTCGCTTGCACTGACCGGGCAACCAGCTTTAGTATCAGTCCGCCAATACATTAATCGGTTCTAGGGCTTAAATTCCTTACTATTTTAGTAAATATCAAGAAGTTTATACTATTCAATAATTTTAAAAGTTTAATATTCAATTTTTAGTCATTTTAACAATTATTGAACATAATTGAAGGTAAAGTGACTAGTTTAATGCGCGGCATCCAGCCTCTTAACACAGCAAACAGGAGTTAGTCTCTCTCTGTTTTCACTGGAGGTAACATCTTGCTTGAGACTCTCTTCAACTAAACGCTTTTTTCTGTGTTTCCAAACAAATTATTGGTCATTTTGAAATATATTTTACATATTGACAATATATAATGCAGTGCAGTGTTGATTTAAAGAAAATAATCTTGAATTACACCAGAGCTAAAATTTTATGGGTGAAATAGTGCCATGGGGTGACTTCTCTTCCACCCCAATGCCTTCTCTTCTTCCTTCTCCTCCACCCCCATTCTAAATCCCATCATCATCATCATCATCCAGGAGCCTTCTACATACACACCTCAAAGTAAGTGAACTTTTCTACCATTTTTGTTGAATTTAGGAAATTTTCGGTGAGCTGGAACCAATTACCCAAAAACCCATTGAAACAATGGTTTAGGTTAACGAACTTTTAGGTTAACGAGCGATAGAGCAGTTGAGTTAGATTGGAGGTCACTAACAATATGTATGTATGTAATGTATGTATGTATGTATATATATATATATATATATATATATATATATATATATATATATATATATATATATATATATATATATATATATATATAGATAGATAGATAGATAGATAGATAGATAGATAGATAGATATATACTATATAGATAGATATATATATATACTATATAGATAGATAGATATATACTATATAGATAGATATATATATATACTATATAGATAGATATATATATACTATATAGATAGATATATATATATACTATATAGATAGATATATATATACTATATAGATAGATAGATATATATATATACTATATAGATATATATATATATATATATACTATATATATATATATATGCTATATATATATATATATATATATATATATATATATATATATACTATATATATATATATATATATATATATATATATATATATATATATATATATATATATATATATATATATATATATATATATATATATATATATATATATATATATAAAATCAACGACCTCACCAGCCAGGACTCGAACCCTGGACCTAATGCATGGGACCAGGGAACGCTACCGACCATACCACAAGAGCATTAAAAGCAGTTCTAGACTATGTGATATTTCACACAAAGCCTGTTCATCGAGCTGATGGCGCCATGAACCTCTCATTGGGAACTGCCCATGCTGCTTATGTGGATGTCAGTAGCATTTTACCGAATCCAGCTAGTATGAAACCATACTAAATCTCAACTAAATGGAACAAATAGAGTAAACCGATAAAGAACTTGAGCACTAATTTTTCTTATTGTTGTTTTAAATCTAAATATTATTCCAGCTTACCTTGGGCATTTGAAAAAAAATGTTGTAATCAAGATGCTTCCTTGGAAAAAAAACAATGCAGAAAGTAACACAGTACATATGGAGGATGAAAGCAAATTTTGAGGATAAAATGGAAAACAAGGTAAGAATTAGGTTTGTATAATAAAATTCTATCTCACCTACATTCATTGACACACTTCCCAAGTTTAACTCAAGAATCATCAAGCATAATCATCCCAAATGAAAAAATATAAAGTGACAGAGGTGAAATAATAAATGAATAGCAAGGCATATCCAATGATGGTATATGGAGGTTATATACCTGTACTGTATATACTGTACTGTACTTCAAATGGTATCTTCATTGGTAGAAACCGATTTTATATGTACAGTATTGTAACTCTGTCTATAAAATCACATAACTATTCCCGAGCATATACAATTGTGTTTAAGTAGCGACAAAATTCTTTACGAGTTACTGTATTTCACTGAAACCATCACATAACATTTTACCTATGAAACACTTGTGACATCAGCTTGGCAAACATAGCAAGGGTGGTTGTGAGAAGATTCTCTATATCAATTTACCTTTCCAGCAGTGGAAATACTTAGTCCATACTTAATAAGAAAAAATTGGATCGCCTTTAGAAAATAAGGCATGAAATGAAAACCTGTACAATGTTCATTTACTGTCAGTGTGACTAATGAGGTGGTCAATGAGACAAATAGTATTAAGTCTCTAGGTAATGACATTAATGGCAGTAAATCTCTGTCTTTAAACCACGCTGACACACACTGAGGTCAAGCAAAAGAGGGACAAGGGTAATCAAGAGCTGGACAAAAGCTTTGAAAATGTATGCTGGTTAATATGTTATCTCTGTCCATCAGTAGGTCGGTATTAGTATTCACAAAGTTGGCTGATGCTTTGAAGTTGAAGAGCCAGTCACCAGATGTTTTACGTAGCAAAACACCTAATGTACTAGTTGGAGGAATCACAAATATGAAATTGAAATGTAGATCAATGTTAACTACAAGATAGGCAAACCATCCTGGGGTCTACATTTGTCTGGTGTTGGGTGAGAGTAGAACCTGTGCCTTATGTCATCCAATACATAATTTTTTTTTATCTAGACTAAATAATTTCAATTTTAATGTACAGTCAACCCTTGCTTTACGCGATCCCACTTTACGCGTTTCCACGTTTACGCGGTACCCTGCCGAAACCAGAATGCTCACTTTCCGGGGTGTGTGTACCCTTTTACGCGGAGAGCGGCGCGAGCAGGGTGCGCACAAGGTCGCCCAGTCATCAAAACATTACCGAGTTCTTCACCCGCCACCTACCACAGCCGGCCCAAGTCAGTGATAGTGATAATGATAGTGAGGATATGGACTTATATGGACTTTGAGGGGTTTGACAAAGAGGCCCTGCAAGCCTCTGTGGTGGATAGTGATACAATTGATATAAGTGATACAGGTGAGGGCCAATAATCTGCCCTCTGCCTCGGAACCAACCCCCCATCCCCGTGTGCCCAGCCATCTTTTCTACTAATGTAAGTGTTAAAAAACCTAATATTATTTATATTTCTCTTAATTATTAATTGTGTGTGCATACCATCATAAAATTAAGAAGTTATTTTTACTACAACGAAGGTATTGTGTCTGAAAAAGTGGAGTTTGGGGGTCGGCCCGGTCTCTATTTCAATTAATCCCATATGTTATGTTGTTCACTTTACGTGTTTCTCACTTTACGCGGGCCGCCGTGGGTTGAATTAACCGCGTAAAGTGAGGGTTCACTGTACATTTAAAAATCCAATCAAATTCTTGCATCACCTCTGAATCTGCTTCATAGTAATTGACAGGTGTGAAAGCCCGTGGTGTGGCCTATCTACAATACAGTATAGGTTTGCAATTTTACCCAGCACTGAAATTAGATTTCATTACACAATCTCTAAACCGAGGAAAAACATAAGTTATCGTTGAAATACCTGAAGTTTAATGATAATGCATTTCATTAGATATTAGACTAAATACTGTACTTCCAACTGTTACCTTTATAAGATATTGTACTCCAATATTATGATAAAAAAAAATGACTGGAGGTACTGTGAGCCTCTGAGATACCTGAAGAGTAGCTTACTGCTCTCACAAGAAATTTTTAATCTTCATGTGTCCAGCATTATTATTAATATCCTGACATCTGCCAAGGAACTACAGTATAGCTGAGTTATTTGCTAATAATCAGCAAACATAAAATGTACTCTCACAGCCAAGTTAATAAGCATGGAATAAAAGAGCCTGAAAATTAAAAAATAAATTAAATTACTGTAAAACAAAATTTGTGGATGCAATTTTTTATTTTGTCAATATCTACCAAGTAGTCTAGTTGGGGATTTATATCTGAGCACATCAAAGTGAACTATCAGCAGCTCTGTTATCACTACAACCTAAGAGGTGGGATTAGAAGGAGCCAAAAGAGAAGCATTGACCTGCAACTGAAATTTTGCTTAACTTCCTTTTTCTCACTAAGCCATGGAATTTTCTCTCAACAGCCACTTCAGACCTTTCTTATTCTTCATAAATGTTTTGGATAAAACATCACCTTTCAACCTGATCTGAGTGCACACCTCCCTCATGTAAGGAACTCATGATGATCAAGTACAAAATGAAGTACAGTACAGTAAAATCCCAACAATTTGAAGTATACCTTGGGGCCAAGAGTTTTATTTGGGTGGATTTCTTTAATATGTTGTGATTGACAGCTGAGATGCCTAGTTAACATTACTGGATTACCAAAAACATGGATGTAATTCCACCTATTTTCTCAAAACCAGCTGATCATGTTGGCTCATGTTCTTTTGTTTGTATCTTCTTTTATTGCTGCTTTGCTTCAGAATAAATTAAAAACAGCAGTGCTGCTTAAGCTTTGATGACCTAGAAGTCTGTTATACCAATCCCACATTCTTACAACAGGCTACTACAGTACCTGTTATATACAATACATTTAACTATACGTAAGTATTTCACTTTTCTTGCTAAAAGCCAACATCATGTCTGTTTTAGGTGTAGACACAGCTGGCAATGCTGTGCATCTTTTCAGCGACTTTAAGTGATTATTTCCAAAAATATAGGCAAACTCAGCCACAGTCCAAATATGGTGACCGACACTCCATTTACAAGTGGCATCGGGAGCGAGGTGTCGGACTCCCAACAAATAAATGATATTCACAGCGCTGAAATTTTCTTATATATCCAGATTTAATTTCAGCTAAGCATTTCTTGGCATGCCTTTCAAAAAATCTAGTTTCAGAGTTGAAATTCAAATTTCTAGAATTTTACAACGTGTTCCTGTAAATGAATATTATTTAACAACATTTATCATTGTACTGTACGTACTGTATTTTTTTTTTTTTTTTACTTTACTGGCAATGCAAACACACAACAATTTTACTACTTCCACTACTCACCTATGTCTTTGAGGATGAGACTTATGGCAAGCCTCATGCCTGTTGTAAGAACTTTGTCTTGAACTTCGTTTTCTGTATCGCTCGTCCAAACTGTAACTCACATTGGGACCACGGAAATGTTGTGTGTTACCCCAGGATGTGCTACAGGTTTCAGTTGATTTTTCTCTTTTCAAACTTTGACGTCTGAAATAAATTTATAAAATAGATCTAAGATAAAGCTGAGGATATGATAAGTCTTGCATCAATTTCCTCCTTTCCATGAAGTCTGCATTTCCCTTGACTTACTCCAAACATAAGTCAGAGAACCATGTGAGTATTGGACTAAAATCAATACACCTGTAAATCCTGACTATACTGTATATAATAACATAATCTCAGTAATCAGGACTTTCATGGGACCTTGGCCAACTGTGGACTGTGAATATGGATAAAACTATACTACTAGATAGCTTAGCTTTAATAACACTTCAAGGATCACAAATGTGCACCACTTTATAAAACACTAACCTTCAATCATTATCATAACATACCTATGTAAGAGCAACATCTTGGAATTGGAAGGTACACCAGTCTACTGACTTCACCATCATATGGAGTTAATTAACTAGATTAGTGCTTATCCTGGGTGTATATCCTACCAAAGAACATCCCTACTCACCACGACCGACACTTACCGTATTTACCTGGACATTCATTAGCGTAAACCCTCAATATTTATAGGGGTTACTGGCATGTTTTTTTGTTTTAAATCAGTGACATCGTTAAAACAGCGAAATATATTTCCTTAAGCCAGGCATGGGCAACCTGTGGCCCGAACCATTTCTTTGCGCGGCCCACTGAGTGATTACGAAATTCTATTTAATGTAGCCCACGGTTCAGGTAGATGCAGCCAACTTAGATGCTATGTGGCAGTGAGTCACTTGGGAATGAACCCCTACGCCCCGGTTGACGTTCCGGAACGTTCATCTAGGGTGACCTGGTTGACATTCCAGAACGCGCGCCTTTTCGCGCCATTGTTTGAATGCCCAGCACGGGTTATTACGTTCCAGTATGACTATTTGGTGGTCACGCCACACGCAGGGTAGCATGGGTGGGCTCAGTGCGGTTAGTACGCATTAGCCTGTCGCCATGGAGAGTCGTCGCTCAATCTCTCATGCTAAAAGTAGTGTAGTTGTATTGTAGTGTAGTATTACTGGAAAATAATGCTATGATTATGCTATAAATGTACAGTAAGTCCTCGTTTAACGTTGCCCCCGGTAAAGTTGTTTTGTTTTAACGTCGCTACTCTTTCGATACAAATAATTCGGATAACATCCCGACGACTCAATATAACATCGTTTTTGTATCATCACGAGCTACTTTTTACGTCACATCACCCTCTCTCGTCTTGCCGCACTACGCTCTCTCAGCTTCGCGCGTTACCTCTCACTCATGGAACATCACACAGCATACCCAAGCGATGCCAGTCTTTGTTTGGCTTCCACAGTGATCTTACGTGTTCAAGTGTTTTTGCTCGTAATCCTGTTCTCTAACCATTCAAAATGGCTTCCAAGAGCCCATCAAGTGCTACTGACGCCAGTGTTGTGAAGAAGCAAAGTAAGACCATTAGTCTTGCTACGAAAATGGAGGTTTTAACCCATTTGAAAAAGGGGAACGTGCGGTGGACTTTGCTGGTGAGCTTGGTCTAATCCCCACAACAGTGCGTACCATCTGGACCAACACGGACAAGATTAAGACTAGTCCCCTTGAAGTGGTAGTTCTGAGTGCAACAAAGACAAGTCGTACTCGAAGTTCCGTGATTGAAAAGATGGAAAAGATGCTGGCTATGTGGATGGAGGACCAGAATCAATGCAATGCCACTATGAACCTTATGGTTATCCAGCATAAAGCAAAATCCTTGTTTGATGACTTAAAGGCAGTAGAGGGTAAAGGATCAAAGGAAGAGAACTTTATGGCCAGCCTAGCATGGTTTCAACATTTTAAGCACCGTTATAACTTCCATAATATTAAGATGACTGGTGAAGCTGCTAGTTCAGATATGGTTGCTGCCGAGATATTCCCGCCTGAATTCAAAAACATCATCGAGGTAGGAGACTACTCAGCGAAACAAGTCTTTAATGTGGATGAGACTAGTCTCTTTTGGAAGAGGATGCCAGAAAGAAAATATATCTCCAAGGAAGAGAAAAGAGCACCAGGTTTTAAAGCGGCAAAAGACCGTTTGACGCTGCTGCTTGGCACGAACGCTGCTGGCGACTTCAAGCTGAAGCCTATGCTAATTTCTCGCACTACCAACCCCATGGGCCCTGAAAGGTTACTCCAAGGAACACCTTCCTGTCATTTACAAGGCAAATAAGAAGGCATGGATAACCAGCGCCATATTTAGCCAGTGGTTAACCGTGTACGCTGTCCCTGCAATGAAGGAATACTGTGCCAAGGAAAACCTAGACTTCAAAATTCTTCTTGTCGTTGACAATGCTCCAGCTCATCCTCCCAATATCAATGACTTACATGACAATGTTTGAGTTGTCTTCCTACCTCCCAACACGACAGTACTGATGCAGCCTATGGACCAAGGCGTCATCGCCGCATTCAAGGCATATTATTTACAGCGTACCATGGATCAACTGCTAAAGGCTACTGACGGAGAAAATAAACCTATGATCCGAGATTATTGGCAGGGCTTCAACATTCTTCATGCCTGAATGGTGTATGGCGTAAATTGTGGGCCAAGTGCGTCAACAGTTTTACGGAATTCATGGACTTAGTCCCAGCAGTGAATAGGGATATCCTCAGCTTGACTACACATGCAGGCTTTTATGAGGTGGAATCAGAGGATATTGAGCAAGTCCTGGCATCTTAACTCAATTAATATCTAGGATACTGAACTTCATTTTAACAGATTGAACCTCAACTCTGGAAAATTTAAAGTGATGATACTGGTCCAACACACTGAAGGGTTTGATATATGGCTTAATGGAAATAAACTGGAAATGGTAAATGAGTTTGATGAATAGAGAAATAATAAGAGAATAAATACCTAGAGTACAGAAGTTGGTCTATTATACCCTTTTTCAAAACCAGAGGATTCTGCCTAAAGTGAAAATGCATGTCTAAAAATCCATTTTATGACTTGTTCTGGTATACAGAAAAGAGACAAGGAGTTTAACCACTAGAACTTGTGGCACACTACAAGCAATACATATAATGTACTGTACTGTATATGATAGTCACATGTTATAATGTGTGCCTGCAAATAAATGGTGCCTGCCAACATGAATCATTGCACTACTTTAAGTGGTTTTAAGGCTGTGAAAAAAATATGTAAAAAAAAATATTAATTCTAACATTTCCACCAGGGTACTCTACTTACCTACTTCTTTGAGGATGAGACCTTTCATCTGAGCTGTAACTCACATTGGGATTGTATGAATGATCATGGATACGTGTGTCACCCCGGGATTCTTCCCTGCTCAACCTTTCACGTCTGAAGTAAATTAATGAAAACATAATCAAACATACAACTGAAAATACAATCAATTACAGTACAGTACATGTAATCACTTTCTCCACCAGTCCTACATTAACTCTCCCAAATTAATTTCCATTTATTTTAAAAACTGTTATTGAAATACCTTAAGTCCTATAAATAAAATAATTTAAGATATTTATAATTATGACCAATCACAAGTCAATAGCCTTTAAATTTATCTTTATTAACATGTACTGTACTGTATTTCTTACTGATAATCCCCAGAGTTTCTCATATTTAGCTGCTATTCATGAACCATTTTCCATATTAGCAAATGTTTGCAGCAACAAGTCCAATTGAATGGGTTAAATCTTCCAGTTAATGTCTGCCTTTACGTCATTGATGATGTGACACTATTTTGGAAAAAATCAGAAGACTACCAACGAGTGAATCAACTGTATAAGTTGTTGAACTTTGTGTGCTAATGTATGTCATTTGTTATTTGCTGTACTTTCAAAGTAGGATGAAATAATTACATAAATATAGGGCAATAAAGGAAATACTCTCTTTATAGTTTGACTGCAGTATAATACCGAACATGTACTTATTGTACTTTACATCCAAAAATGTCAAGTTTACATAGAAATTAAAACCTCAAACAGCAGGAGTAATAGGCTGTTGCCATGTCATACAGCACATTGTGCATACGACATCAATTGTTTCAAATTGTTTTTCTTTTTCCTATTGTTTGCTTGCTATATTTCTTTTACAAATATGAGATGATTTAAGTATGAACTGTCTAGTTATCATAAAGAAAATATGCTGTCAGGTGTGCCATGATATACAGTATGCTCCTGGAACTGGCCAGAGACATCATCACCAGCCAGAAACATCAAGTAGTACCTAAGTGATAACTGTACATTCTGTAGTTTGACTACAATACTGTACTTACATTACATCCAAAATCACAATTGCTTTTGAATCACTCTTTTTTTTCCATTTAGAGTGCCTGTACACTACTTTAAGGCTCAAGTATAAATGACTATCACTAGGGGTTTTGGAACCTACCAATGTAAACATGTCAGTCCCATATTCATCCTTGTACTTGTTTATTTCCTCTACTGGCTGTACAAAAAGGTATAAAAAAAAAAGAAATCCAACATTTCCACTATTTACCTATGTCTTTGAGGACGAGACTCAGGATTAGTAGATTTGTGTCTCTCACTTTGGTCCACCTCAGAATTTGCCACATCTTGATTGTACGAACTACGTCTCGAATTTCGTTCTCTGCACCGTTCATCTGAGCTATAACTCACATTGGGACTATATGACTCATCACAGAAATGTTTTGTGTCACCCCAGGATGTGCTACTGGCCTTTTCCCTGCTCAATCTTTCATGCCTGAAAAAATAAATAAATTTATTGATTAAATAAACAACTGAAGATAAGAGCATGTATTTACAGTATGGATACTTCTTGTTATTTCAACTCTTACCAGCTACTCTCTTCACCAGAGTATTGTATCTATATTCCTTGTTATGTTCCCCTTATCCTTGAGGTTTCTGTCCCTTCTGAGTTATCCCTTACATGAGTTTAAGAGAAGTTAAAATAATTAATAAAAAAAAAATACTGACAAAGGAAACATTAATCCATTAATCCTGTTTCCATTAGAGCCAGGTGGCTCTCATAATACTATACAGGCTGTTAAAAGAGGAAGTAAGGTGTCCAGTACCCTACTTTCCAATGTCCATTAATGAAAACCAAGGTAATTTATGAACCACATATATATACTGTAGGTGTAACAGTCACCCCTCCCTCCTTTTTCCTGTGGCGACTTGATGTGACAACTGCCTAATCCACTAACACAGGGAAGAAGGAAATGAATCCAAGCCCCCTGGCTACAGATTCCATTAAATTACAAGATTTCAGGATCAATCCTCATTACCAGTCATACTCGAAGGAAAAGTGGCTCTCATAATCAAATGCTAGCTAGATAAAAATGGAAAAGTTTCCAGGATTATGCAGATATGCACCCTAAAGACTTGACCTCTGTCTCATGTTTTTAGAAGAAAGGAGCAAAAAAAATAATGAAAATACAATATACTATGCAGTACTGTACTGTACTGAATGTGGATGCTCTGAACTTTAGTACAGCATACTAATAATTTTTTGTTTGGTTCATAATCTTTTTTTCCCAAATAAGACTAAATCATCCATGGCACACTTTTTAGATCTCAACCACATTTCTCTACATCTTTAAGTAGGATTAAGTCTTATATGAAAGAGGAATGACTGGAATGATCCTTTGCTTGGCACTCATACAATATCACTTGGACTATTCCTGTTCATCATGGTACTCTCCTTTTAACACAAAAGCTAAAATCCAAATTACAAGTTGTTCAAAACAATGTAGTGAGGTTCATTATTGGCATGAATGCAAGAGATCACATTGGTCACAATGTCTTACAATCATGAACATGTTAAGTGTGGAGGATAGAGTGAAGCAACTGAGGCTGAATCACGCTTACAGGATTTTCAATGGAGTGTGCCCAGAGTATCTAACAACAAACTTAGCAAGGATTAGGGATATGAACTAGCAGGGCACTATAGGACGTGAACATAATTTTATGGGACTGCTATAACAGACTGGTACAAATTACAAGACCAAAACCAATTATGGTATTAAACAATTCAGTTAAAACAAAGACATACATAACAGAAGCTACAAAAACAAAAGAGAGTGAGTTTCTATACAGTAAACCCTTGTTATTTGAGGGGGGGGTTAGGTTCCATGGAATGACACGAGTAGCAACTTATGCTACCTTATTGCACTATTGTACGCCTGTACCAAACAACCGACCAGCTGCAGCAGCACTCATCCCATCTTTTAACTTCTCTAATAATTCACTTTGTCAGGGTTATCACTGACTTCGGCTTTTTACATTTCACTCCACTCGCATCCCAAGCACTGACACTAGGCAGTCTTTTAGGGGCCATTTCACACAGAAACACTAAAGTTTTGAGAGTACAACATGAGACGCTGCATCACAGGCAATGGTTGAGCATGAACAGAGGGAGAGGAGACGCTGAGAGTGCATGGGGTGACTCGTTGTGCTACGGTTAAAGGCTCACAAGCTAGCCACCATCTGTTTACCGCGAATCGTCGAAATCGCGAATCGTAAACCCACGAATGGCAAGGGTCTACTGTATTATTAATTTCAGAATGTTGTACAGTACTGTACAGTACTGAAGTTATGATCTGCCATCCTCAGATAATCTAAGCACAATGTAAAGTATGTTGAATTTTACCAAAACCTTTCACTAATATCCCTGTAGACATACTACTGGTATTACTGATTGGAGACCAAGCATAAGCCTAAGCAAAGGACCCTCCTGGAAATAAGTACCTGACAGCTTTGTCAACTATCCATGGTTAAGTTGCCTTATTGTTAACCATTTTTGTTTATCTACACTGTCTCGGCATACAGGAAACTGTACAGTACAGTATACTCTCATGGACTACGTGCATCGCATACCTACATTGTCTATATTCATGCTAAACTGTATAACTGTATAGTTTATAAGCATGCTTATTCAACTGTAAACCTGTACGAAAATTTTACCGAATAATTATTATTATTAGTACTGTATTATTATGATGCCCATATTAACATTTTAGACACTACTGTAGTTACACTTAAAGTGTCCTAACTAATCTGACTTGGAAGTTTAATTTCCATTTAATGAACCCTCTCAGGAGGAATCTTCCACTTCTTCCCAATTCCAGAAACCTGACCAATTAAAAATATAAATTATATAAATTATGGATTTATCCTTTTACTCCAAGAACAATCTTGGTAAACAGTGACAAATGGAATTTCACATTAGTTGTGTTTATCCTTAGAAGCAATTGACATCCTCTGAATTGTTATGAATAAATGGAATTTGTGATTATTTAAACTTGCTGAATGTCCACATTAATTGCAAATGCATGAGAAATTAAAAGTTCTACAACACTCAATCATATAAAAAGAGCAAAAAGATGCTTACCTCTTTTTGGGACTTCTGTATCTTGTAAACTCATTTTCTGTCGAGTCAGAATCAGAATTGAATGATGACTGGTGGTTACTCCACTTTCTTTTCCACCTGTATTGTGATCTTCCATCTCTATCTGAATCCTGGGAGCACCTATCATCTTGGCTCATAAGAGAGTTTATCTCATGACTGCTACTCGGTTTTTTATTTAAAGATGTCTTCAAGAATGAAACACAAGCCTCTGCAAACTTCTTTGCCACCTCTGGATTTACAGCATTTCTGCTGAGTACAGCACAAAGGTCTGTTGGCCTACCTTCATTTTCTTCATCATTATTTCTTTCACTCTCTCCATGGTAACTAGAGTCTTCCTCTTCAGTCATGGAATAAATTTCTTCCGGGTAAAATTCCCTATAATCTCCAGAATATTTCTCTGTCTCATCATAATCACCGGAAAACTTACTCCTTGAAGTGTATTTCCTCGTGTCGTTGTAAGAGCTTTTATTATCTTTCTGAGTGTAATTTCTTCTCTTTACAGAGTTTTTGGAATGGTCTTTCTCTCCCTTATGCACATCTTTTAAAGACTGTAACTTGTGTCTTTTTGCAGAAGAACTGTGTTTACTTTTATGCATTACTTTGTGCTTACCTTTCCCTGCTGGGTCATGTTCCTCATCATCTTTTCTCGTGAAACCTTTCTCATCATTCTGCTGCTTCTGAAAATTATTGATTCTTTGTCTTTCCTTCTGTATTTTGCAATCAAAGTCATTAGAATGTTCCTCAACTCTTTCCATATCCAAGGATGTGGCTTTACTTTTAACTTTATGCATTTCAGAAGTATCGGCATGTTCTATGTCTGACAAGTTTTTATCACTTACCTTCACTTTATCTGAAGACTTCATAAAACATCCTTCAGGGTCAGAGGCTTTGTTACTTGAAGTGTTGATCTTTTCAACACCACTTTGTACGCTGTTACACTGATCAACATCTGTAGATCTTTCAGACACTACACTACTTCCTCCTGCCTTGCATTCACCAATATTTTGTGCTTCATTAATGTCTTTTTCTAATTGGGGCATATTGTTCCTCTTTATTTTAACTTTTGATACTACATCACTACTTTCCAGTTGTTCATCTGGAGTTTCTGCTATTTCACAAATATTATTTGTTGCTTCACTAACATCTGTTGTTAATTCATTACTATTACTGTTTGTCATAGTAGAAATATTATCTATTCCAGCAGGATATTTCACATCACTAGAACTCTCTACAGCAACAGGGTTTGGTGATACATGACTTCTATTTGTTTTACCAGCACAAGTGCTGTTCATCATTTCAGTGACACTCTTACTTAATTCATTAACATTTTCAATTACAGTATCACAACATTTTGTATTTGCAACACCACTTTCAGTTATTTCACCACTAGTCCCAGTAATCTCATCAGTGGTATTTCTTTCACCATTTGCATTTTTTGTTTCACAATAATTTTTTGGGTCAACATCAAAACCACTTCCTTCTTCAACTTGAACCAAAACACTACCATCACTACTTTGAGGACCACTGACCTTCTCTCCACCTACTGTACTTAATTCTTTGACATTATCTTGACATGTGATGGCAAGGTTCTTTGGATTATCCTGGGCAACATTTTCATCATGACTTGCAATCAGTCTATCAACAGTCTTTCCATCTCTTGTCTGGTGTAAATCTAATCCTTCACTGTTCTCATGTGACTCCATTTTTCTTATACCCTGTACAGTACTGTATATTCAATGCTTCTATGCAGTATATACACTTTCAATTCACTAACTTCTTTTGATGGTTCAGTAAATAGCTCTTTTTCTTGTTTAAATTTGCTTCAAGCTTTCCAAATATTAAAAGAAAGCTCTTTCACTAACCAGGGCAGTCTAATTGTAGTAATATAATCACCACCATCAATCTAGAAATATCCAGTGATCACTTTCTTTTTATCCACAAACACTTCTTTCTTTAGTTAGTTAACACAACGGTACTGTACAGAGAGTGTTGAATCTCTATCTCAAAATGTGATTGAGCGAATTATTAAAGTTCCAACACATGTGCAAGATTGACTTAACGGTACTGTACATATGTAGATACAATTCTTCTCATATGGACAATGCAACCGCAATCTAATCTGTCCAGAGACAATTCACTCACTGTTATCTAGTTATATTCATTCATGATACAGCCAACACACTACAGTATATTTTTTCTTCTTTAAATAACTATTAACAAGCACTGTACTTTGTAGGGGCCAATTTTCTGTACTGTACTTCCCCACACAAGTTCTTAGTAAATGAGATTGGAATTCTTCTTAATAATGATCCATATGCAGTACAGTACTGTAATATTTTTCAACAATGGCAACCCAAATTACAGTATAGTACTGTACAAGGTATCTAATTTCAGCTGACTGTCTCATCTACTCAGGCAAACATATTTCTCCACTCACTTCTGTTAATATTTTGCCCCATAAGAGGCTTTATTTCTCCACAATTGAAACACTTTCCCATAATCTCACCAGCTCCTTTAACATTAACACTGTCTTAACTTAGTAAGAAGTATATGTTCATTTCAAGAAATTATCTAAACTTTTGTAACACTTATGTCTTCTCCATGACTGTCAAAATCAGAACGTATCATCAGTGACACATATCACGTGCTTGAAGTCACACCATGTACAACATTTGAATGCTCTGCTGTCAGGAAACGACTCAAGCTGTAAAAAATGTGAAACAAAAAAGTAAGTCTTAGTCAGGGCTGGATTAGCCATTAAGCAAAATAAGCACGTGCTTAGGGCATCAAGGGAAGGGGGGCACCACAGAAATTTTCCATAGCCGGATTTACCATGGACCATATGGTGCAAAACTGCAAATGGTGCAGCTGAACCAGGGTTCACGAAAAGAGGCCCACACATTAAATGAAAAAAAAAAAAAAAAAAAAAAAAATTATATATATATATATATATATATATATATATATATATATATATATATATATATATATATATATATATATATATATATATATATATAATAATAATAAATAGTAATTATAGAAGATAATGATATACATTAATCTTGGGGATACAGCACAACAAAATCAGGTGTTGCAGTACTTACATGAAGTTTGTAAGCTAAACCTTTCAAAATGTAGGGGTCAATCTTATGACAACGCTGCAAACATGTCTGGGCGTTATAAGGGGATGCAGCAAAAAATTCTAGAAACAAACAAGTTTGCTATATATGTGCCCTGTGCGGCTCATTCACTAAATCTGGTAGGCCGACGTGCTGTTGACTGCTGTCAAGGGGCTGTTAATTTCTTCTCTACAGTGCAGTTGCTCTATACTTTTTTTCAGCCTCAACCAGCCGGTGGAAAATTCTTAAAGGTTGTATTGGAAATGAAAGCATCTTAAAATCCCTCTCTGATACCAGATGGGAGGCGCATGCTATGGCAACAGCAGCAATTTTGAAATCTTTCCTTAAAATTTTAGAAGCGTTAGAATGTATAGCCGAAGACCAGTCACAAAAGGGAGACACTAGAAGAGAAGCAAATAATATTGCAAATAAGATGCAAGAGCTAGAATTCGTTTTTATGTTGAATTTTTGGAATGAGATTTTGCAAAATTTTCATAGAGTAAGCCAAGTTCTACAAAATGAGGATGTGAACTTAAAAACATGTGCAGATCTGTATGGATCATTAACTGATCAACTGTGCACTTCACGAGATAAATTTGAAAGATATGAAGCAGCTACAAGGGATATGCTACCAGATGTTGATCACAAGGCAGCTCAAACTCGCAAACGTATCAGAAAGAAGGTACCCAATGACGGAGATGCACCAGAAGTATATCTGAATGCCAGAGATAAATTTCGTATCACCACCTTTTACACAATTATTGACAAACTTGAAACTGAGATGAGAAGAAGAGGAGAGATATATAAAGAAATAGCAGAGGTTTTCTTTTCTAAGTGATGTGCCACATAATGCCACTTCATCATCTACTGAAATTGAAAGGTATTCTCAGTGCTGTCAAAAGCTGATTGATGCTTACCCAGAGGATTTCAACACTAATTTCTCAGCTGAGCTTCAGCAGTTTCACTTATATGTGCACCATAAGTTCAGTGCAACACAAAATGTAAAAACAAGATTCAGTCATGCTGAACTTTATAAAATGATTGTAGAAGACAATATTGAGTGTGCCTTTCCAAATGTTGATATTGGCTTTTGTATATTTTTAACATTAATGGTCACAAATTGCTCAGCTGAGCATTCATTTTCTAAGTTGAAGTACTGTATATTAAAAATCCCATCAGAACAACTATGCAACAAGGCAGGCTGGCTGCCTTATCTCTACTAAGTATAGAAGCAGATGTGTTACATAAGACTAGTTTTGAGGATCTGATCAAAGACTTTGCAATTAAAAAAAGTAGGAGAAAACTTTTCAACTACAGTATAAATAAAATGGACGTATACAAAAATAAACATTATTTTCCATCTTACTGTAAATTTTGTTTAATTTCGAAAAATAACATTTCATTTTATGGTTTATTATTGTTTATATTTTGAATTACATATATTAGGCACCAAAATCTTTTAAGTGGCCTCTAAGGGTCTTAATCTGGCCCTGGTCTTAGTTATGAAAATTTAATATAATAATAATTTCAACTTGTTATTATATATATATATATATATATATATATATATATATATATATATATATATATATATATATATATATATATATATATATATATATATATATATATATATATATATATATATATATATATATTCAACTTAACCTAACCCAACCTAAACCAGCACATGCATCATGCAGAATAATAACCAACAAACGAGCACACATGAGCTCTCTTGGAGTGGTAACTTAAAATCCTAAAATTTGCAGGATGACCAAAACAATAATACCAAAAAGAACCCAAGTGATAATAGTAAAAAATCCGTAAAAACCCATTGATATAAAAACGATTATTAACTGCAGCTCCTTCCAAAACAAAAAACAAAAATATTCAACTAATATTATAAGCAAAATACATTCCTTTTACATACAAGGTATTTGTCAGATTTTTGAGTTATGACAAATTTTACCTTACACGGAAAATTTCCTAGTAATTGGTGTTAAGGCCAGAACACTCAAGTATTACTGACCTACCTAACCTAATTAAACTAACTTTTAGGTTAGTTTAAAATATTCTTTAAATTAAAAATCCTCCACTTTTTGAGGTAAGAATTGAGGCATCCTAAGTTGCCTTCAGACCATCCGGGCAAAACCCGTTTTTTGTTGGAAAGCATTATTTTCGACCTAGCTCTATACGACAGTAGTTGATAAGATCTTACTACACTGTAAATAAGGTTGAAAGCAGCAAATTATGGGCTTGATTTTCGCGTCATAAGGTGCTCTCATCCCGTCAGTGAGTGAGAAGAGCGGACGGCCAATCACAGCGGCCAGCCTACAGCCTCCTTCCCGTCTCGGCCAATGACAGTGAGCGTCTGCTATCTACATCACGGCCCCTCCAGCGGGCGGGATTTACAGTCTGATATCGATTAAAGGAAAAAAAGCTGTAAGTGGGTGGGAGTTTTGTTGCTTTGTCAACACTGCAACAACTCAGTACATTACTTCATGATGCACTACCTACTATATGCAAGTACAGTCCTTTAGCTTCAAAATGCATCAAAAATGAATGCTGTATCTCAAAAAACAACAAAGTTATGCATGACTGAATATGGAAAAACTTTAAACGAGATTTTCTTGGTTTAAAATTTTGGCACGAATATCCCAGACAATGCAGGGCACCTCAATTTATCTTATAACAAAAATGTTCGAAGATTGCTGGTTCTTAAGTTGGACCCCTGCTCCTGAGTATTACCCACGTTAATGAAATTTTTTCAACCTATTCACTACGGGGACGCCACTTTTAATAACATAGTAAACGATTATAAAAGCGCTGCATTTTCAATGCATTTTATAGTGAACACTTTTGTAGTTTGTGCATTTTTTTTTTTTTTTTAACCCAGCCCAGCCCAGCCCAGCCCAGCCCAACCCAACCTTAACCTATCCTTAACATAAAATTGCCACATTTCTGCCAAGAAGACAAATTAGTTAGCAACCTAGATGCCTAAATATCTACCAAATGAAGTATTTGCACAAGAAATTATTGTCATATCAGTACTCATTGATGAAAATAAACACCAATATAATATAAACCGTTCAATGGGGGAGCCCATACACAAGGGGTTAAGAAAAATAAATAAACCCTGCCTGAAAATACACCTTTATGGAAATCATAACTAGTAACTTTAAGAGTGACTCTTCCTACACTTTTACCTGGAGCTAATCTAGCTGATGCAGATTTGGGTTATATTTTTTTTGCTAGTTTTCTTGCTGTTTTAGATGATTGACATTTATCTTTGGGGCAAATCACTTTTTTTTAGGTTAGATTGGTTGGTTCCTTTGGTATGAGAATAGGTTATTTTTGGTGTATTACTCAAATCTGGCCTCCATTTTTGTGCAAATTAGCAGCTTCTGTTAAAATTAAAATGTTTATTTTGAGCAAAAAAATTTTATTTGCACAAAAAGTGAAGGTCAGATTTGAGTAATACACCAAAAATAACCTATTTTCATACCCTAGGAACCAACCAATCTAACCTAACCTATTCTCATCCCAAAGGAACCAACCAACCAAACCTAACCTAACTAGAAAAAAAAAAAAATAATAATAATAATAATAATAAAGAAAAAAACAAGTGATTTGCCCCAAAGATAAATGTCAATCATCTAAAACAGCAAGAAAACTACCAAAAAAAAATATTTTTTATGTGAAAAAAGGTGATGGGAGGATAACGAAAAATAACCCAAATTTGTTTATATTTACGTTCAAATTTTACTCAAATAAAGTATTTAGGACATTAAAAATTCCCACCAAGTCGTACAAGATAATGTTTGTAAACTGTAACATCATCTGACTCTTAACACAGGACTTATTATGACTTTGGAGGTAAAAACTCGTACATAAACAAAAATTCACCAAGGAAAACTCACACAGAATATGTAATAAAAACCAATAAATGGGAAACGTAGTATATCCAAGACGATATAATTCAGCAAAATGTAAATATTAGATAAAACTTTCCTCACTACACACCAATACGTCCCCCAGTTATCAATGTAGCCTCCCACTACTTACTGTACTTCCTATTAAACCTCCCAGGTCATGTTAACATCATTCATGAACTGAGGCAGCAATAATCCAGTTAATATTAACAATTAATATTTAGATGAACTTGCTGTCAATACAGTTTAGTAATTTCTCGCTGGTCTAGTTACTGTAGCAGTAATGGTTCTGAAGATTACGGAGCGGTGTAGAAAGACTGGCCAGCCATAACCCGTATGGCTGATAGCTTGTCCTCACACAAAACAGATGGCGCCAGGGCGGGTATGTCATACACTGTACTGTATAGTACTCTTATTTGATCTACCAGCCTACCTCTTATTTGATCTACCAGCCTACCTCTTATTTTAATCATTTTATTTATCTAATTGACTAATGGCCACTTACTAGAGGTGGCCATGCCGAGGGAAGAAGGCCAGTGGTCTGTGTAGGCAGGGGTGATTCTACGGGGGGGCCATGGCCCTCCCAGATTTTGGGCTGGCCCCGGGGGTGCCCCCCCCCCACTTTTTATTCTCAAAATTGTAATTCCAAAAACGTTCCCAAAACCAGGAAGTGAGTCAAGTAACTCAGGCAATGGGCGCGCCGCACACCAGTTGCAGGCATGGGTGAGGTGAGGTGAAATCACTGAGGTGAGGTGAGGTGAGGCCCGGAGGGCAGGAACTGGGAGGGTGCAGATATGCGGGGTGGGGTCACATCACGGTGTATATAAACAAACTGCCTTGTCGGTGATGAACATTATCACTCTGTATTTCCGCTAAGTGAGGTATGTTTAGAGAGAACATGTGAGTAATTTTTTAACTATAGGAGTAATATTACAATCAGTCAATCTCAATCATTCAGTTCAAGTGGCTGTAGTTGGTGTAATAATGCCAAAAACTGCATCTTGCAAGATGTACACAGGTTTGGTTTTGCCCCCCAACATTTACCTTGGCCCCAAAGTGCCCCCCCCACTTTCCGAAGGCTAGAAACGCCACTGTGTGTAGGTTCCTGGTGTACGTTGATTCTGCACGATAACTTGGCGAGTTTGTAGTTATGTCCTCTTGTGTTGGTGGTGCTTGACACCACAAAGAAATGGTTTGGGTTAACGTTTTTCATTCCTTTCAGGATTTTGAATGTTTCAGTGAGATCTGCCCTATTGTAACTTGTCTGAAGTTATTGTTTTTTTTAGCCCTGAGGCCCCCAGTCTACTTAACAGTTCTTTGTTGCACCTTTTCTAGGGATGTTAGATCTTTCTGGGGGTGGGATTTCCAACTTTCCAATTTCCATGCATGTATACAGTAATCCAGATTGAGACGTACTTGAAATTTGTACAGTTGAAGAAGCTTTTCCTATCTTTGTACTTAAATAATCGCTTTATAATTCCCAAATCTCGATTTGCTTTCCTCACTTGTTGCGTCGCTTTCAGTGAATGATTTATCACAACGCCAAGATCTTTCTCCGAAGAGGAATCTTGAACATCGGGTAACCCAATAAATGTATTTGACAAAGCTGCCGTTCAAGTTTGAATAATCCATTTGTCAGATAACTTAGAAGTAACCCGTTGTAAGGGATTCCCCTTCTTGCAAAGCACCCATAGGGATACCACAGCATCGTGTACACGACGACAGTTCTTGCATTTGGTCTTTCCTGCACTAGCCACTAACGTCTGACTTAAGCCTGCCGCGATAACTCACATAGCTCAAAATCTTAAGTGAGGGCAAAATGAAGACTTAAGTTCGCATGCTGTAAACAAACTTACGATTGTCTTAATCCAAGACGGTCGTGGCTATAATCAATAATCTCCTTACTGCTATTGCGGAGCATGATCCTGATAAGCTAACAATTCTTATTAACTATGTGGCTCCCAGTGTATATGAGTTCATTAACATCTATGATAAATATGAGGATGCCATAAGTACATTAACCAATATATATGTGAAACCTAAAAACGGGGTGTTTGCAAGGCATCTTTTGGCAAGCCGTCGTCAACATCCAAGTGAGACACTGGATGAGTTCCTCTAGTCTTTGAAGCTGCTTAGTGCCGACTGTAACTACAAAGCAGTGTCAGCTGAGAAGTACAAAAAAGAATATGTACGGGATGCATTCAAATGTGGACTCCAATCTAATATCATTTGGCAACGTCTCCTCGAGAATAAGACATTGGACATACAATCTGCGTTTGACCAATCTATGGCTCTGGACCTTTCTCAGAGGAGTTTTGAATTGTATTTGGCACCTCCTGTGACTATGCATTCTGCCTCTACTTCTGGAGTGGATGGGTATGATAGTGGTAATGTAGAACGGTCGGATAGAGATTCTCAAGTTGCGGCAAACCTACAAAAGTGTTATTTTTGTGGAAATCGTAGGCACCTCGTCACAAGTGTCCAGGTGAAGTGACCTGTAACAAATGTGGTAAAAAGGGGCATTTTGCTAAAGTGTGCAGGTCATCATCTACAATAAGTGCTTCATATTCCCCTATTCTAGCAGCAGTACCGGCGAGTATATCCAGAGCTTCAGTGCATATGTTAATGAATGGTAATAAGGTAGATGCTCTTTTGGATACTGGCTGTGAGCTCCAAGAATGGTCGAAGAAATGGCTGCTGAGATTCAATGTCACGAAGTGTAAGAGGATACACCTGGGGCGTACCAACGGTAAGGAAGCGAATCATATGTCCCAACGGGATGAAGAAACTGCACTGTTTGAGACTGGATGTGAGAAGGACCTAGGTGTGTATGTTGACAATGAGCTGAAGTTCTCGGGCCATTGCGAGAAGAAGGTAAATCAGGCAAATAAATTATTGGGTCTTATAAGAAGGTCGTTCAGATATCCCTCGTAACGATCTCCAAGGTTGACGTGCTTCCCCATCTGATGTACTGTCACCCCGTCTGGTCCCCGAGATATGCTAGGGACTGTCAGTTGGTTGAAAATGTTCAAAGGAGGGCCACCAGACTGGTGCCTGCACTTCGGCACCTCAACTACCCTGAGAGATTGGAGCGCTTGAACTTGCCTAGCTTATACTACAGACGGGCAAATTGAGGTGTATAAGCATCTCAAGGAGCACTACTTAGTCGAGTGTCCTTACTTGGAGCTGGCCGACGCTCGCCCCACAAGGGGTCACAGCTCAAGATTGAAGAAGCCGCAGGTCCAGAAAACTGTGAAGGCAAACTTTTTCGGAGTGAGAGTTGTGAACTCTTGGAACAATCTACCAGAAAGTGTTGTGACGACACCGAGTGTGAGCTCTTTCAAGACCAGACTTGAGTAACACGAGCAGGTTCAGGTACATTCAGGAGCCGGTGCATGCCCAGTACTTGCCAACATGCGTAACAGAGACGTGACCGATCGCCCAAGCGGCTAACAAGCCAATCAATTGAAGAGGATAAAAGAAATAGAAAATTAACAGAGATGTGACCGATCACCCAAGCAGCTAACGAGCCGATCAGTGGTGAAGAGGATAAAAGTAAGTAAAAGGAAGTTCTGAGAGTTTTTAGTGTGAAAAGCTGGCGAAGCATTTTGATATACCACTGTATCCTAGAAATAGCCGAGTGTCAATGGCCACCTCATCTCTCTCGACTAAAGATGGAAGGGTATTGTATTGTAAACCTAGAATTGTAAGGTAATATTTACAAAGATGTCAATCTATCTGTTTTGCTTGATTTGTGTAGTGATGTTATATTAGGTCAGGATTTTATGCAACAACATGATTATGCTATGTATACACATTACATTCACCCCGTTCCGAAATATTACTAGTACTTTACGATATTTAGAGGTCTAAGCGACTTGGTGGCTTTCTAGCACGTCCTGATCTACGTAGAGATTATTTGCTGAATTATCAACAGCCGGATCATCGCTTTGACTTATCCTAGTATCTGGGCACGCCTCAGCTGTAGTATCACCATTATGAGAATCCAGATTATGACGCACACCTTCACATATAAAAGCAACAATAAAGACCTGAGGTTTCATTACCTCTTAAAAGAGAAGAAGAGGTTGCTTGAATTCTTGTAGAATTAATTGTAGTCGGCAATTGTTTATTGTAGTAGGCCCATAAGAGAAATAAAATTCAATTTAGGCTTTGTTCTACAAGAATTCAAGCATCCTGCAACAAAAACAAATGTAACAAATATTAACATAAGCAGATATATAGACATCATTAAAATTAAACAAAACAGGTACAACAACACCAAAACAAAGTAAAAAGATATACCTACATATACTGTATGTATATATAACAGGGCCACCAAACTCCGGAACATTGGCAATTATCCACAGAGATTAGAATGCCTGCAGTTGCCTAGCTTATACTCTAGGAGGACACGGGGTGACCTAACAGAAGTTTATAAACACCTCAGGGGACATTACTAAGTCGAGCTGGCGGATCCCCGCCCCACTAGGGGTCACAGCTTAAGGTTGAAGAAGCAACAAGTTGAGAAAACTGCCAGGGCATTTTTTTTCTTCTTTTTTTTTGGGGGATTGAGAGTTGAAAACTTGTAGTGGATACTCTCCCCTACAACTGCTACTGCCGTTAGTCGCTGATCAGCCGATCCCGCATCAAGTTTCTTTGACAAGCCTAGTTTCTGACTGCGCGGGTCGGCCACCAGCGAAGCTCACTTCCAGCGGACGTATACTGTATATAAGCTAACAGCCTCGGCGTGAAGGGGGTCACACACTCACTCTCCTCCTCTCACCATGTCCGGTTACGAAGACTCCAAGGTGTCTCGGATACGCCCAGTCGTACAGATCTGCCTCAAGAAATTAAACCTCCTCGTCCTCAAAAAGTTCTTTGAAACTAAAGGGATCGTGGGGATTACCAAGGTGGAACGACTGAAGCTACATGGAGACATCAAGATCACCTTCGCCGAATATGGTCAGCCCGGACAACTCGCGGAGATCGACATCAACGGCATCAAAATACATATGATTGCCTACATGTGGGACCACTTGAAGCTGGGAGTAATCTCCCACACCGAAATTGCCCACATGTAAACAGAAGAGCTGGTCCAACTACTTGAGGGACAACTCAGCTGTGTCAAGAAGCTGTCTGATACCACTGCCCTCGTCGGACACCACGAAACCCTACCCAAAGAGGCTCAACTGGCGTGGGTAACTGTGCCAGTCAAGCCCTACTGCAGACCCAAACGCTGCTATAAATGCCAGCACTACGGTCACACTGTCAACAAGTGTGAGGCGCAGGAGGACATATGCTCCCTGTGCGGTACCCCCGGACACCGCTACACCGACTGCCCCAATACAGTGAAAAAATTCGCTGCCTGTGGCGGCCCACACTCCTCTGCCGACCGGACCTGCCCCAAATGGGAGGAGGAATGCAGGATAACCAAGGTTCGACTCGACAAGAAACTGAGTTACAAAGAGGCCCTCCTTGCTGTACACGCCCAAGACAAGAAAAACCAGAAGAAAAGAAAAACCAACAAAAGAAGACCCGAGAAAAGACACACGTTACCAAGAAACAAGAACAACACGAGTCCACAGGGGCAGAAACCCTCATCAAGATTACCCCCTCCGACTTCATCCACATCTACTGTACTGCGCACATCATTGTCATTCCTAAAAACCCATTTTAATCCATATTACGCTACATAACATTCAAATCCACCGCGCTTGTAGAATCTCAGAAAACGGGAAACATTGATAAAGGATAACTCACCTACTCAATGTTACTAGACCATGTGTTGTATTGTACCCAGGTACAGTTATCTAATGTTAATTGTATGTATTCATAGCATTAAGAAGAACTCAGGGTATCCATAAGATGATTGGGAAAGTCCAGTTGAGCCGGACTAGTGTACTGTAGGACTAAGTGTGGATCATGGTTTGAAGGTCATACTATTTACGTCTGTGAACGTGTAGCGGACATACCTTCCACAGATATCATAAGAAAATACATGAGAACAATGATCTGGAAAAGTGATAAATGTGTCAGAACTATGTGAGGTGTTGGAAGTGACCCAGAAACTATACTTGAAAGGAAATATCTTTTGTGTATTGGTGTGAACTTAATACACCTCGTATCCTCACGTGACATATACCCACAACAGGTACAGTGATCAGAGAGTCTTATGACTGTGTTCAAATAGTGCAATGTGTGAGAGGAGGATCCCTAATTACAGTTTTAAGTGAAGTGGATATACCCACGCCATGAACATTCGGCTTTTGTTTTAAGGGGAGCGTCCTGTGTACCCGCCTCGAGTGTACCGCGTTGATATTATAACCCAATGAATTTACCCAAGAACTAGCAAACCAGAACCTTACCTTAGTGTGTAATTTAGGATTAAAATATGTGTTTATAAGACTTGAGTGACAATATACCAGAAAGTGTTCAGGTGAGAACCGTAAGAAATAAAAGTAAAAATTAAATATTGGAAACTGAAGGCCTATGCGGTGACGAGCGGCGGGGCACTGCCCTCAGTACCCTCCGTTCTACCGTCACCTCAGGTCAGTGTCCTATCGGGCTATATCCCGCCCTGCAAAAAAGGCTTATGTAGAAGTTATTACAGTTTAAAGCTTTGCCTGATGCGGTCGGAGTGCCTTGCTGCGCGGCAGCCATTATCCCTGTGAGCGTCCCACCAGGTGGTTACTACTCCCAGCTATGCCAATCCACTGTGAACCTGTGGATTCCCAGCACACCACCCCAAATGAGTAGTAACAAATAAGGAGACCGTGAGAAACTCCGCGGTCGTCACTTGGAGCGACCTATAATACCAGGCGTAGAAATAGTACTGGTATGTCTCTTGGTGCAGCCCTCGTCTTTACCCACCGAGGACGGTGCGCGAACGAGGTGCCTGTTATGTATACAGTACCTAAAAATTACAAGGAGTCCCATACCTGCAGGTGTGGAGTGTAACAGGTGTGTTGAGATGGTGCTACTATGTATGATAACCGACGGTGCTATATTCCATACAGGTGGAGCAGTCTGATGAGTTAAGGGGTAGTGTAAGAAGGAATGACCGAGGTAAGGAGGTCACAGATTGTTATGCAATATGTATGTGGATGACACGCCATTAATGTAAGACGTCTGGTGCCGAGCGGGGTAACCAACATTTTCGTTGTTCTTCTGAGGAAGGCCAATTCATTTGTATGTTTTTTACCAGTATGCTTTATAAGGAATAAATTAATTAAGGCATGTTATGGTTTCACCCTTCTTTCCCCTTATCGATCTGGTCAATGAAAAACCTAACCCAATGCCTAGTCCACTCTGCACGCTACCTAACGAGTTACATACTGTCCAGAGGGGGTCTGGTGGCAGCGACCCTTAGAAATTAAGATTAGAGTTAAGTATTCCCCCTTAGAATTAGTGACCCCAGTCTGGCAGTATACTACGAGCACCTAGGGCACGACGAAGAACAGGATCCAAACACTAGGGAATGGACGATCCAAGAGAGCAAAAAGCGGAGGAAAAGATCATCAACTTCAAGTTAACAAAAAGACCAAGATATATCCACCAAACAAGAAAACACCTTACCCAATCAAGCCGACCAAGTACAGAGAAACCATTGCCCAACCTGGCATGCACCTGACGTTTGACCTGACGCTCACCTGACTCGTGGTCCTGCCCCCTCCTCGCCGCATCCAGGCAAGTTGCTGCCGCCTCAAACTTACAACCCTACATCACGCAAGTGGCGATAAGCCACTGCACCTTTCCTCTCCTTCTAAAATTCACTTCAATCCTCCCTTTATCCTTCTCCTGAACCACCTTCCCCCCTGTCACTAGTCTTTCAGTCAGTCAGTCGTGAAGGGGATTCTACGGAGCGCACTCAAACCAACAAGACCTCCTCTCAACAAGCTTCTCACTACACAGCAACTCCCTCGCACTGCATTGTACATATAATATAATATATAGAAAACGCCATAGTGCGATCCTACAGAGAAAGTTGTGACGACACCGAGTGTGAGCTCATTCAAAACCAGACTTGACCAACACTGGCACAGTTACAGACACATTCTTGAGCCAGTACATGCCTTCAGTACTTGTCAACAATGTGAAATAGAGACGTGACCGACCACCCAAGCTGCTAACGAGCCGATCAGTGGTGAAAAGGATAAAGTATACAGGAGACATAAGTGGATATATATTTATTAAATAAATCACCATTCAAGTTCACATTAGTTCAACAAGTACATAGACAGTGCAGGTATACAAACAATACAGTAGTATACAGTACGTTGATTTCAGCAAGAACAGCTCAATAAAGCTTTTAGAAGTCATGATGCACTTTCTCGCATGCTGTCAAGAAAATTGTAAACCAAATATTTATTTTAAGAATTATATATTTTTGCTTTTTAACTCATTAAACATCCATGTTTCATTATACTGGTATCACTTTAAAAAACATTATTTGATGAATCATACTGTAGGAGGATAAGAAAATGTTGCAAGATAAATAATGCATCATTACAAGGAAATTTGCTGTTTTGAGTTCAATATGTTGAATCGTTGACACCACAGTCTACGAGTATGACGGCAAGGGGGAATAAATCTGTTTTATTTCCCTAAATCTTGAATCGTAATTCCTTTCGTAATTTGTGTCGTATCTAAACCTAATGATTTTTATCTAATTCATTCACACTCGTTACTCTTAATATATTTTATTATAACCCAAATATTCAGCAGACAAGGTTCTGCCATTTCCTCTCATACTTATAACAATTTTCATATACAGTTGAGTCTGGATTTACGCGGTTTTTGTTTACGCGTTTTGTCATTTACGCGGTGCCTTGCCAGAATTGAAATGCTTAAATTACGCGGTAAATTTGGTAAAATACGCAGAGAGCAGCTGGCGGTCCAGCCGCGCGCCATTTTGGATTCAAACCTCCCGCCATGCCTGACCACAAGCAGGGGAAGCGGCACGGGGAGGGGTGCGCACTGCGCAGTGTGTTGCTGTTGCGTAATCGGTGACGTCATATGATGTATCCGACTGTGATTGGGCCACGCATCCTTACCTCTCTCCCCCGCTAGCTGTGATTGGTTTAATGTAATATGACGTGCCCTGCCACGGGAGGGAAGAAGTCGCTGACCTAGGAGGGCCTGTCTCATTGTTCTCAGTCCGTGTATACAGTTCTTTCTTGTGCCCGCTATTCCCCTCACAACGGCTGCCGCGGGATCCCCACCACCAGAGAAAAACCTTGAATTACCTGGACCAAGCCATGATAATGTGAAGGAAATCATCGAGTTGGAGGAGAAACTTAAGCTCATCCTTGACAACGACCCAGACAAGCATCGGTATGAAGTGTCTAATAACCATCTGACGAAATTTATGGAGCAGTATATCCAGATCTATCTCGACAACATCAATGCTAGTCACCAACGTAGTATTGAGGACTTCCTCGCCCGCAACCCACCACAACCACAGCCAGCCCAAGTCAGTGATAGTGATATTGACAGTGAGGATATGGACTTTGAGGGGTTTGTCTGGGAGGCCCTGGAAACCTCTGCGAGTAGTGAAAGTGATTCACCAGAGGGCAACTAATCTGCCTCTGCCTCGGAACCAGCCGCCATCCACGTGTGCCGACCCAGCTTTTCCACTAACGTAAGTGTTAAAAAACCTAATATTATTGATGTTTCTCTTAATTATTAATTATGTGTGCATACCATCATAAAATTAAGATGTTATTTTTACTACAACGTAGGTATTGTGTCGGAAAAAGTGGAGTTTGGGGGTCGGCCCAGTCTCTATTTTAATTAATCCCATATGTTCTGTTATTTCATTTACGCGTTTCTCGTTTTACGCGGGTCTCCACGGGTTCAATTGCCCGTGTAAATGAAGACCCAGCTGTACCCAATATCATTATCTCCGTGTTTCTCACCATCATCCAAAATTTCTTCTTCGTTAAAGGTTCATTATATGTTGCAGTTTCCTGATACTTGTCTACTTTTCTACATCACAAGTCTCAATTGACACAGTAAATAGGTTCATTTTAATGTACAAATCCTTATCACAAGGCAGAGTAACTAACGGCAGGTTTCTGTTCTCTCCCTATTTGTTTGCTCTCACGATTTTGAAAAACACCACCTACGCTGACGGAAGAATTAAAAGTCGTTCCTTATCACTGATGCGTTGCCGAAAAGGGGTTGTTTTGATCTTTTAAAAAATCATCGTGTCGCTTTTCAGTAGCTTTAAGTTATCGTGGGCAATATTGACATATACTGTACTTCACCACGAGTAGGCTGACTCATTCGTATTAAAAACCTTCTGTTACATTTTTTACTGTGGTATATATTGGTACCAAAGACCAAGTACTCTGCGAAATCATCCGGAGTTTTACTGTTTTTATATCTTGCACAATCTGTATTGGAGCACTAGTAAACGACTGGTCTTCAGATACGGTCTTATTTTCAGCTGGTTGGGTGTAAACGGAACTGCCCAGTATAGGCCAATAGCCCCGCTGCAGTTTCTTTCATTCTTAAGTTCTTATGTACAGTCTTATTTTCAGTGGTGTACTGGTATATATATTCGTATCTTCAGGTCTTATCTAGCTAGTGTACTGGTATATACGGTCTTATCTTCATCTGGTATATTCGGTCTTATCTTCAGCTAATGTACTGGTATATACGGTCTTTTCCTCAGGTGGTGTACTGGGATATACAGTCCTATCTTCAGCTGTACTGGTATATATGGTCTTATCTTCAGCTGGTGTACTGGTATATACGGTCTTATCTTCACCTGGTGTACTGGTATATACGGTCTTATCTTCATCTAGTGTACTGGTAATTACCGTCTTATCTCCTAATAGTGTACTGATATGCGAAGAAGTCTCATTATTAGCTTCGCCGGAAGTGACGTCATGGGAGACTGAGTGTTCCATCAGGTGATGCTCGAACTGGGCCCGGGAGTCGAGGTTGAGGTTCATGATAGTGAGGAAGTCGAGGGGGGAATGTCTCAAGAAGTTGTAGTTTTCGTCATTGTAATTGTCCAGCATATGAGCGTACAGAGCACCGTTCACACTTAACACGGGACACTGCTGCTTCAGGTAGTTCTTACTGCAAATACAATAAAATAGATAAGACCATAGCATATAGTAATTGTATTTCTATTTATTTCAATGGAAAATGGAAATAATATCAGAAAAGGGGCAACACAGATAGAGAAAAACGAAATGGAATCCTCTGGTTGAGAATCCTTTATCCGAAATTCTTAAAACCGAAAAAAAACGAAAACCGAAGAAATTTCTAGAAAGCGCTGGTAACGTTGGTCGCCCAGCTGACCTGAAGCTGAGTCGAACGCGTTGTAAGGGGGTGCCCAATAAACTAGCCCCCTCGGGGGCAAATCTGAAATCTGAGTCGAACGCATCCGACCATTCAGGTTTACCCAGGAAACTAGGTTGGTTGTCAAAACCTTATTATGATATTTGTGATTGTTTCATGCTTTTGGCCTGTTATTTTATTGCGAAAGTGTAAAAAAAAGAGAAGAGCATCATTTACCCCAATGGGTAACCGTGAGAAAAAGGAAGGAAGCACCGTTGTTATCAATAGCAAAGAAAGTGGAGATGCATTCATACACATTTTTTTTCGGTCAACAGAAGTAATGAAAATACACTTATAAATGGAGATATACTGTATTTTTAAACACATATCTGTCCGTTAAATCTGGACGTTTACTAGCTGTTTATATACGATACGCTGTTTACATAAGATCTTATATAATGACCATCTGCTGAGAATTTATATACTGAGCACCATTAAAGAGTACAGTAATCCCTGATTATTCGCATACTGTATTTCGTATTCGTGCCTTCGAGAATTTGTGGAAGGCAATAAAATTCTAAATATTAATACTGTACACTGTGCAGTATTGTCATTTGAAATATCTGCAAGCAGACGATGTATAATGAAATATACAGTATTAAAAATATTTAATACTTCTCTAAGAGATGAAACGTTAAACCATATTTAATGTTACTACAATATTGTGATGATAGCTGCACGTAAAAAAGCTGGAGTCGTGATACATTATGTCCCAGGAATTTCAGATAAAGGGTTCTCAGTTTGCATTTTTCCTCTTAATTCCTAAACAAACAATCAAAATTAAAAATTAAATACCTAATAATAACTATATACTGTATATAACCAATGAACATCAAATTGCTTTACATTATACTGCCATCAAAGTACTTCAAGGCAGCATGTTCAAAATGACGTCAACTAGGGTATGTGTTAGAGTGACATCTGTTAATATGGTTGCATGACCCACTTGTTACTATGGCAGCACGTCGTGAAACCTATCCTAAAAACCACCACACAATAAGTATCTGGATTTACAGCTGGTACTTAGACGAATTAGAGATAATAAGAATAATAACATTGAAAATGACCCATCTACCAAGACTAAGACATTACCCTGAAATGGAGAGGTTACCTGTAGAGAGAGAGTTTACCTGTACTTAGAGTAAGGGGTCGCTATGATGAGGAGGGTCGCTCGGTGGTAGGGGAGTCTCCACAGGCCGTAGTGGTGATCCCTCGGATCCTGACTCCAAATCTTCAATGCCTGTGGGAGAGCAATGCCATAAGTAACATTTTTAGTTAGTATATACCTGTACTGATAATTTCTTGCAGTGGTTTAAATTTATGCCAACCTTGGGACGTTATCTCTATGACCTGTCCACCCTTTAACATTTCATTGTATAGACTGTAAGTTTTACTTTTTGGATAAAGTGAAAAAAAAACGGCTATTACAGAAGACAAAAGTCAGCTTCTGGTTTCTGAAAGTTCGCTGACACTGCTGGTGGTATTCAAGTTACAGCCTCTAACTGACCCACTGAATAAAGCATTATTGTGGTATCTTTGTCCTGCAACTAAAGCAGGAGCGTCACTGAAGACTTTATTTGAGAAGAGATGAGGTCATTAAGTTAAGTGTGGATATAAGGTTTATCCTGCCTCGTGTCTTACTCTCCACTGTTGAGTCTTCCGGCACCTCAGGTGTCTCCTCAGGTGCAGGATCTTCTACCGCTTCAACTATAGGATCCTCTCGCACGCCATCAGCTGGTTCAGCAACGTCTTCCGTGGGAAGCTTCTCGGTGTCTACGGGAATTTCGGCCTTGACTTCTAGTGTGGAAGCGTCGGTGAAGGGTCCTTGGTGCAAGGAGGCGACCATGACGGCCGCTATCCCAGCCACTACCCCGAGGGCTAGAGGTAAGGTCACCCATGTGGGACATCTCCGACCTTCTCCGCTTGCCATGTTAATCACCAAGTGGTTAATTCGTCCACGGTAGCGGCGAGTATCAGTTGCAGCTGAAGGTTAGGCAGCGTCCTACCTCAACTGTTAACACTATAATTACTGTACTCTCGTTGGGAGTCGCTCAGCAAGTAAGACCGCGACGCCGACGCTACTGACACGATCGCACAACAGCTGCCACTGCCGGTAGGTCGAGTAGGCAAGGTTAATGTTACCGGCAGTTATGATGTAATGAACACCTTATAATAGCCCCTACAGAAGTTATCACCAAGCGGAGGTAACGCACACAACTGAACTTAAAGGTCGAAGGGTAGTTGCTCAGGCGAGGCTGGGGTGACCCTGTACAATATACTCGTAATCAAACACGAGCATCGAGACAACGATCATACATCGAGATATAGTTAGTTATCCTGTGATAGTAGGTGTGATTGATGTATTTTTCGAAATCATGCAGACATGTTTAGTTTTCGATGTGGACTTCGAGATCTGGTGTTGTACCTTATAGTCAGTCAGGCTCTCAGGTGACTATCTGCAGGTGACGCTGGAGGTGAGATCCTTGTGTAATGGATAATCTGTATTGGGAAACGTTCGCCTCTCATGATATATAACACAATTGTCGCTAAATTGAACATCTCATCTGGTGTCACACGGCGATGGTGGGACGTGGACGTATTATGGGAATGTATAGAGAGAAGTGATATGAGGATGACAGAGAGGAAGAAGAGTATGATAGAAAGCTAAGAGTGGGAGAATATAAATACGGAGGTGTGAGAAGATGAAGAAGGAGGAGTAGTAGAAGCATAAGGTAAGGATGTGGAGAAGTAGAAGAAGAAATAAATGGAATGAAAAAGGACACATACAAAGAATTGGAGGACAAGGTAAAAACATAATCGGGATCCAAACGAAGAAATACTGGAGAACGGGCAGAAAGGAGACAGAAAGGCAAACAGAAGAGATGGAAAAATGGAAAGATTAGGCTAATCATACAGAATAGCAATAAGCTACGACTTATACTTACGTCTGCGAGTACCTTGAAGGTTTTGTCGTCACCTTGGAAGTGCATCTTGACACAGACGGCATACACCTCGCCCTCATGGTGAAGATAACTCATTAACGACGTAAATGATAAATAAATATAATATATATATATATACATATATATACCACAATAGAAACTAAAATCTACACCAATTTGTAAATATATAAGAAATCGACAGGTGTTGGGGAAAGTGAGACTGAGAGAAAGAGGCGGTACTCACAGGTTCGCTAGGAAATGTGAAGTTGTAAGGGTCGCTGATGTTGAGTGGTTTAGCCCTTGACAATAATTCTTTCAGTTCAATTTCGTACACCTCTCTGTTCACTCTGCAATACAGTACAATATCCCTTGGTCATATACAACATACTTCAGTACAGTTGTTCAACTGTTATTATATACATGCAGTTCACCGAGTCGTTTCTGGTCAATACTTTGTTCTTCTTTTTTAAGTTATCATTGTTTTAGTATATTTCAATAATTTTCTACTGGTTTACTCTGTGTGTGTGTGTGTGTGTGTTGGCTGTAAGAGAGATAAAAAGAGAGAAAAACTCGTGTGTAATGTGATATCATAAGTTCAGGGTCAGATGAAAGAGTACTGGCAAGACCTACGTGGTGAGGTTGACCCGGGTGTTAGGGTCATCTGAGAGAGGCTTGTTGGAGAAGCGTTTCTGGGTGACGAAGCCGGAGAAGTGTGTGCCAGAGAGCCCAGCATGGGAGGTCCTTGACACCTCAGGGATGACCAACTCCCTCCCACGACGCACCAGTCCGCACCCCATCCAGTAGTCCCAGTCTGTAGCCTGTAAGAGGGTTGGTAGTAGTAGTTGTAGAAAGTGTTGTAATCATTAGAATAATAATAATAATAGAAGTAGTAATTGGTGATGTAGTCATTGTAGAAGTAGGTGGTGTTGTAGTCATTGTAGTAATAGTAGCAGTAATGGTCCGAGCTCCTATAGCGTAACTTTGAGACTATACCTTTAATCTCGTCTGTAATCTAATTATAACCAATATTTGACCACTGTATCACTGAGAGAGAATAAATTTATGAATTTATGTAAAATGGCTCCTTTAGATTTTTAAATGTTGGCATACATACATACATACATACATACATACATACATACATACATGCATACATGCAGTAGATTGGACCAGCCACAAGAACTTCTACATACTGTATATCATAAAGAAAAATAAATAAATTAATAAAATCAGAAGAGGTTCTCACACAGCCCCTGGGAACTCCTTACCACAAAGACAGGAGGCCACTTGGGCAGCGTCTCCTCCAGGAAGCTCCTCTTAACCATCCAGCCGTATGCAGGCAAGGAGTGGACGCGATATAGGCGGGTGGGGTCGTGAGCAGTGTGTCTGAAGGAGAAGTGGGCGTAGGCAGACACAGCGAACAGTGAAGGGTCTTTATCTAAGAGCACAGCTGTCTGCTGCATGTACCTGAAGTTGGATGGACACTTCTGTTGAATCATAAACACTGGTTAATCATGCTGATGAATCTTGAACACTACTGAACATGGCTGGCGAATCGTGAATACTAATGAACACTAAATCATGAAAACTGCTGATCATTGAATCGTAAACATTAAGTGAGAACTGTGGGTGAAACATGAACACTGCTGAACATTGAATCATGACCACTGGATAAAACTGCTGGTGAATCGTGAACACCGATGGACGCTACTGAACATTGAATCATCAATAATAATTGTCAACGTTGGTCTAGGTAGGATTTGGTTAGGTTTGGTTAGGAGATGACTGGAAGAAACAACTAACGAGTAAAAGTCAGGAGCGAGGATGAGGTCGTCCTCCAAGATGATGAACTTGTTGGTGGCCAGCAGCTGAACCCCGTGGTAGAGCGCGAACCTCATGTGTCTGTAACCGCCAGCAGGATGAGACTTTAATCCTCACTCGTCTCTCTCAGATATATATTGTCTGTATGCAAATTATCTTAGTTGTACATAAATTACTTAGCTGTATATAAATTATTTTCGTAATACCAGAGAGAGATAATTGTTCCTCATTTGTTTTTCTGCGTTAGCCCTGTATAAATTGTTTTAGGCGTGAATTGATAATCTCTAAAACAACTTCTCCAGCTATAAATAAGGATGCTAAGATATAAACATATAAATATAAAACTTGTAAATATCTTATATAAAACAATGTAATGACTATTCTTTATATATCAATTTAAATATAGTAAAATAGGAATGATTATGTGAGAAACTATATCTATCTTGAGTTTAATTTATCTGGATCACCTGAAGATTAGCCCCAGCTTAGGTTAGGTTAGATTTTAGGTTAGGATAGCGTTAGTTAGGTTGTAGGTTAGGTTAGGGTAGGTAAGTGTTATGTTATGTTAGGTTAGCGTTGGACTATCTTAGGTTAGGCTCCGTTACGTGAGTATTAGGTTACGTTAGGTTAAGTTTGGGTGGTTAATCTTAAGATTAAAATGAAATATTCTAGGGGTACTAATCTTCAGATGATCCATTTATCTTACCTGGGCGTGTAACAGTGACCATCAGCCTCTTACCTGGATATACGCGGTGAGCCTTTGCCTTCAGGGTTATGGACGCGCCACCTGAGCCCCAGCAGATCCACCAGCTTGATGGTCTCCTCATAGCCGCCATCTATTGATACCAACACCTGATGCAGTGCCACGCCCGGCTGAGTCAGCAGCTGCCTCAGTAGTCTGGCGGGGTGGCAGGGGTATCAGAAAGCGAGTGGAGTACAATTTGAGGGAGAGTGAGGGAGGGTGTGTCGGCAAACATGAGGGAGAATGGGAGGTGTGTCGGCAAACATAAGGGAGAATGGGAGGTGTGTCGGCAAATATGAGGGAGAGATGCAGGACAAACTCTCATTAGTCTTCAGAGATATGGAGACTAAAACTTAAAGTAACATAACATGGTGGGATAGTGTTGACTTCAGAGTGTTAGTTGAAGATTTTTCCCACGTTGACACCGTTTTATTAGGTTAGGTTAGGTCCTCGTGAGTATTTTTTTCTACTGCGTATAAAGATGATTCAACATAATGTAACATGAGTTAGTGCAGAAGTGTGACCATCACCACCATCGTCACCATCACCACAGGGGCAGATACAGGAATATCAAAAGGGGGAAGGGGGTCCAAGAAGTTGTGGATGTGGGAACATGGAAGCAAAGACATCCCACCCAGCTGGGGGTCTTGGGGGGGGGGGGTCGCTGTAAGCCCCAGATTTTTTTTTAATCTGACCAATATCTTGAGCTTTTTGAGACCATTTTGAAGCTATGAGCACTTTATATTAGATATTCTGAAGTCAATAGAAATTACTTTTTACTATACAAAAACGCCTGAGCACACTACTACATTTAAGAAAAAGTATTAGAATTTTCTGATGAAAAGGGGGGCCCGGACTCCCAGGACCCCCTGGATCCGCCCCTGCACCACCCCTCACGTCACCAATACTGTATCGCCTCCACCACCACCACAGATATCAACCTGAGGTAAAGAGGACCCACCTGAAGAGATATCTCGCTCGGCTGCCCGCCACCACCACCACGCCCAGCTCCTCCCCTGTCCCCTGCAAACAAACACACACACACACACATAAACTCAACATTTCAGTATTATTTAATCACCAAAATATTCTTTCATGTTTTACTTCTCCTATTTACGTTAATAGTTTTCCCCATTTATCTTTTATTCATTTTATTGTGTATTTCTTCAGGGACTCGAGCCGTTTTCTTCACATTTATTCTCTATATCCGTTTAAATTTGTTCCCGATCCTTTGAAAGTAAACACATCTCCCCACACTACATATATTTTTGGGTGATCACCTGATACCCCATCAGCTTATTTCACCCTAACGCTAATCTAACCTATACTAGCCTAACCTAACCCCATCTTTAGGTAATGCTAGAGTGTTTAGTATAATCAGGTGAAATAAGCTGGGGTGCCTATTTTCAAGGTGAGCCCTTTTGGGTACATAATGTAAGTTTGAGCCTTTATATTATACAAACCAAAAGATCAACCCCAAAAATTACTGTCCTTTATCTTGTGAAAGGATTGATAATTGCACAAATAGAAAAAAATACTTCTGTTAAGCATGGGCTGACCGTAGCGTTGGCGGGCAGGGTGAAGGGTGCTGAGCAGGAGCACAGGTCGCCATAGCCGTCGTACATGTCACAAAAGTGTTGTCGTTTATTCCAAGACAAGGGCCACGACTCACACAGGCGCTCTGCAACGTCACACGCAACATCATTAATTGTCTTTCCGTTACTACACCAGAACCTGATGTTATGGACCGAGAGCTTTGTCCAAATTACTAAATCATTAAAGCGACATAGAGGACATAGTCTAGCTTATTATTTACAAACACACGCACACACACGAGGAATTATACCTGAAGGTGGTGATGGAGAGACAGGGACCTCTAAGTTGAGAGGAGGCGGGTGGCTCATGACGCCGTGAGGGTTGGTGACCAGTCCCTCGGCGAGTGTAGCCCCGCCCACACGCCACGCCCACGACCAGCAGTCCCCGAAGGTGAGGTAACGGGCGGCGAAGGACCCTAGTGAGGTGAGAGTGTCCCTAGACGATGCTCCCAACCGACCTGAAGTGTCATACTGGGGGAAAAACGCCTCGGGTTATAAAAGGTTTCTACGTAAGTCTTCCTTTAACTGAAGAAATAGACCACGCCAATTTGACCTGTTTAAGCCACAATACTACCATGGCAACTCAAACACCGTTGTGATTATACCTTGGAATAACCTGCTAGAGACTCTTGTGACAGCTCCTAGGTAGTGTGGACTCCTTTAAGACAAGTCCTGATCAAGCAACACCATCACGTGTTAAGATTAAGATACACTCAAGAATCCGCACATGACCAGTAATTACCAAAGCTATGAAGGGCCTGAGATCGACAGTGGCAGTTCATCTATACAAAAAAAAATACCAATTCATTTGACATGTGAAAAAGTTAAACAAATATACCGGGTATGTCTAAAAATTACAGAGTATCCCTAAAACAGGAATTACATTCAAAGTATAGTTTGACTCAAAGCATTGCTCAGTTGAAAAGTTCTGATGCAGACAGTCGCTGCGCCGCCAGCCTCACAACATATACCATTGACCGAACAAGTGAGTTAAAATGGGCAGGTTGTGAGGTTTGGGATATTAGATATATATCTATATTAGTAAACAAGAAACAACGTAATGGTACTGTTTACATCAAAAACTAATACATTAGGCGCTGCAGTTTTGTTTATGAGCTGTTTATTTACATTTCCAGCTGATATATCCAGACATTTGATCATTTATCGTCTGCAGGAAGATATCATCGAAATTTCTGAGAAGACCCCCTCACGTGTGGCACTTAAATTACCAATACACAACACTACCGGAAAGAAACACTGCCACTCTCACGTAGGAGGTGAGAAAAGCCAGCCTGCCGGGCATGAGGTTGGTGAGGGTGTGGACCAGCTCTCTGTCTATGAAGTAGTCTTGAGTGTTGAAGTAGGCGGCCAGGGTGGTGAGGTGGGTGTGAGGGTTCAACACCTGCAGGTACACCCCGGCGTATGGCACCATCTGTACCCACTTCCCTATCGCCACGCGACCACTGACTTTCTGTCGCACCAGCTGCGACAACAAACATGATAAGAAAGAAATTTCAATACAAAGTTACTTTACTAACCACACTAAATTCCTAATTTTAGTGAGTTATAATATGCATGTATTCATTAAATAATGAAAAAAATTGTGTATATCGTTGATTTTTATTAATAATTATGAACACTGAGGAGGTGATTTCAGCTTGGAATTCTTTAACGTTGATGAAATATTATACAAAGGTGAGAAATATATACATCAGAAGGTGTAAACAATAACTCCTGCACAAAGTCACTTTGTTTTCAGTATACGGTGTAGCGAGGGAGGGGAGACACTTACGGTGGTATTGTCGAGGTAGATGGCGGCCTCCAAAAGGGCAGACGTGAGGGTGACGTCGGCGGGGTTTGGCTGGGCAAGGGGCGGCAACGACCAGTCTAGTGACACCTCCACAGCCTCCAGTGTCTCGTCGTCTGCAGGATAGTCTTGAATTATTTTACGTTCTGTATTTATCTCACAAATATTGGTACAGCACGACATATTTGTATACCTCAATTATACCTGACTACCAAACAGACTTCAACTACAGTAAACCTATTTCCGTAAAAAAAAATAACCATTCGACACTCCAAAATAAAGCAGTTTATATAATATAAAGACCTACTAGACTATATACCGGTAAGGTTGTATGTATGTGGGTATGTGTATTCGAGACCTGGCACCATAATGTCTAGGAGTGAAAGAAAATGTCTAGTGAACGGGTATCGGCTAACAAACAGTGGAAGAGATAAAAAAAATTTCATCCCTTGTGTCGGGACATCTCTTCCTTCTTTTTCGTCTACATACGTTATTTATAAGTGTTTTAACCACTTAAGGGCCATAGTTTAACACTTTGATGACTTTGGTTTAACTCTTTGAGAATAATGATCTAACTCTTTAAGGGTGATGGTTCAGCACTGTGAGAACGATGGTTTGACCTTTTGAGGACGATGCTTTAAAACTTGCAAGGTCTCACAGTCGACTTACCTTCGAGATCGTGGATGGTGATGTTGGTGAAGTTGGAGGCGCTAACGGACCAGAACCCACCATCAACCGTCCCAAAACTGTAGGAGGTGTAACTGGAGTCCCTGACCGGCTCCAGATGTAGAGGGATGTGTCGTTCGCCCATCACTACCTCACTAACCTGTCAGAGAAGGTTGTCAATTCACTTCGCCAAACATTCCCGTCAATTCAACCCAGTCAATTTCATCCACAAGAACTGTCAACTCACCTCGTACACAAAGTCGTGTCACTTCAGGTTGCATAGCAAATCGTTGTCAATTCACTTAAAGTTGTAAAGAAGGTCAATTAACTTAAGGGAATTGACCGAAAGAAAATACAAATATATTTGAAAAAAAAATTGAGAAAAATTTGTGGTTTGCCTTGAAAACTATCCGTTTTCTTCTAATTATATGAGTTAGGTACGAAAACATCTATGAATTGAGAAAAAAATTATATATCTAATCTTGAGCGCCCCACCCTCATTTTTTTTCTATCAGATGTAGTATAAAAAATATAATATTGTGGGGTACGAGATGTTTGGTTCACACTCAGGATGGGATGGAGAAAGGAAACTCACAATGTGCTCTCTGTATACATATTGTATTGGATGTACAATGCAGCTTGGTGCTGGGAAGGCAGCGTGGTTACAAGCGTGAGTAGGGAGAGCTGGTTGGTGAGGGTGCTGAGAGGAGGACCAGCTTGTGGGTCGCCATGCTCGCCGGCGGGAGCGAGGGCCACCAGGCAGGAGGAGGAGGAGGTGTTGCTTGTTGGCTGGTGTAGGAATTCTCCATGTACTGTATGATATTTTTAGGGTTGTCTGGAGCAGTTTGCAGGTTCTTCCCCAAGTAACTGAATTTTCCTTTTAAGAGGCCAAATGCACCTTCAAAGGTATTCCTCATCTTGACATGAGCCTCATTATATCTTACTTCCTGGGGTCCTCTTGGATTTAAAAGTGATGTTAAATGATACTGGCGGCATGGGTATCCCGAGTCACCCACCAAATGCCCCCTGTACAGTCTATCCTCAAACTCTTGGCACAACCACATTGAAGAATTGAAAGTGGGGCCCACATATAGCTTGAACATTAAGGGAGACATAGCCTTCCCATTGTGGATAAAGTTCGGTCCGATCACCATCTTGGTGGTGTAAACATGCTCACGGACCATGTCATCACCAAACTTACCAGCTATTACGGGAAGTCCATACATGACAATAAGAACAAAACTGTCGAGGTGAGCCAAAGCATATATGCATCATACTTCCACGCCATGTCCAGTGATGAATCACCTCAAAACCATGGGCTATGTCCGAAGGGGGAGACGTCCCTGGTGTTTTACAACAGGGTACTAGCAAAGGGTGAGACACGTCCTTCACATAAAGAGAACAATCCCTACATCTCCAAATTCCCGGAAGAAAAACAAGGCAGCATCCGGCAGATATATCGCTACCTCGCTTCTACTGAATTGCTACAGAAGTGTATCAAGAGAACACAAAATCCCAGTGAAAGTCTGCATTCTAGGTTATAGCGCCTCAAAAGAGTATTTTTTGTGTCCCAAGTGACTATAATTGACCATAACTTTGGGTACATGGATACGTCCCTGCTGACTAACATTGGACTTCGTGTTACTAACCGCACATTAACAGTTCTAGATCAGCAAGAAGCCAGCAGAACCACTCCCAAGCCACTAAATAAGTAGGCCAAGATAATAGCAAAACCTAAAAGTGACGACTACAGCCTTGGTGGTTTCTAACTATTGCTACAAACTTGGCGACAAAGAGGAAGGTGACGCCTTCTGATACCCACACCTGTCTTCAACAGGAGGGGACCAAGTGCCAGCAGCATAAAACTAGTTATTTTTATATAAAATGAAACTTATATTCCCATATCACTTATGTTTATTTCCACAGATTACCTTTACTTACAATAAAATGAGGTATAATGACAGATATCACACTCTATTTTCAATTTCGTTCTGTTCCTATTTTTTCGCCCCCCAGGCCCCGTTGTGGGTCGTTTGACCTCTGCCAGGGAGGGCTAATTCCCGTAAAAAAAAAACTTCTGCAAAGAATCTCCCATAACTTAAAACTCAAGTTACTGTTATTTGAATTTCAACCGCTCTATTAATTACCATCCAGATTTAAAAAAATAATAATACACGACTGTATAGGACAATAACAGGGGAACATTCTGGTCGGAAGAAATTGTTGATATCTCGATTAGTTACGGAACAGCAATTTTCTTTTTGTATATGCAAAATAATATTGTAAATAATCTTTATAATTTGATACTACTCTTTTGTTTTCATCAAATGTGTTTCAAACTTGGTCCTTGTAATGAGGACACACATACTTACAAAATGGTCGAACGAATTTTAATATAACTTGGTTGGTTAAAGGCATAAAAAAATCGTTAATGGGAACACTAAAATAATGTATACAGGGTATGCATTTTGTTCTCGAAAACTATTGGGCAGTTTTCATTCATACTTACAGGATCTTTGATTTGTATGATCCCACATAACATACATGTATTAAAAAATCAGTAACATGTTAATTGTTGCTACGTTTAAGCTTAATTTATTCGAAAACTTCCTTTGGTATCGTATAGGGTGAGTACAGAGCCTAGACACTCAGTACGGTATTTACCCGTCACTACACTTACCCAAAGGTGATACACTTATCCTGATCAACAACCAGCCACCGATGCACTTACCGGCCACAAGCCAATATAATTACCCACCACACTCTTCATCTGTTCCTTTCCTCATCCATCACACACTCTTCACCCACCTCTCACCACCTCATCCACACCACACCCTTCACCCACTTCTCACCCCTCATCCATCACACCCGTTACCCATCTCTCATCCACCACACCCCTCATCCACCACACACCCATCACCCACCACACACCCTCATCACCACACACCATCACCCACCACCTCATCCACCACACACCCATCACCCACCACTCATCCACCACACACCCATCACCCACCACACACCATCACCCACCACACACCCCATCATCCACCACACCCCATCACCCACCACACCCATCACCCACCACACACACCCCTCATCCACCACACACCCATCACCCACCACACCCACCACTCCACACCACCCATCACCCACCACACACCCCTCATCCACCACACACCCATCACACAACACACCCATCACCCACCACACACCCCTCATCCACCACACACCCATCACCACCACACCACCCACCCACACCCACACCCACCACACACCCCCATACCCACACCCACACCACACCCACCACACACCCCTCATCCACCACACACCCATCACCCACCACACACCCACACCCACACCCACACCCACCCACACACCCCTCATCCACCACACACCCATCACCCACAACACACCCATCACCCACCACACACCCATCACCCACCACACACCCCTCATCCACCACACCCATCACCCACTCACCCACCACACCCATCACCCACCATCACACCCATCACCCACCACACCCCTCATCCACCACACACCCATCACCCACCACATCACCCACTCACCACCACACCCATCACCCACACATCACACCACATCACCCACACACACACCCCCTCACCACACACCCACCACACACATCACCCACCACACCCCTCACCCACCACACACCCACCACACCACACACACACCCATCACACCACCACACCCTCACCCACCACACACACACACCCACACCCACCACACACCCATCACATCCACCACATCACCCACCACCCACCACACACCCATCACCCACCACACACCCATCACCCACCACACCCATCACCACACCACACCCACCACACACCCATCACCCACCACACACCCATCACCCACCCCCATCCACCACACACCCCTCATCCACCACACACCCCTCATCCACCACACACCCATCACCCACCACACACCCATCATCCACCACACACCCATCACCCACCACACACCCATCACCCACCACACACCCATCACCCACCACACACCCCTCATGCACCACACCCTTTACCTCTCCATTGGCATTCGTGTATATGAGGGCGCTGGACAGTTCTTCCCTTGTGATACCAAACGTCTTCAGGCTATTTTCATCAGTATCGATGGTCTTAGTTCTGTTACCACCTTCAGGTAAAACTACAGTGATGTTGATTTTGATGAAGTTGCCCACTACGCCCGTGCCCATGACCACCCTGGACCACCCCATCGTCAACAGCAACAGTAGTGAGGGCAGGATAAGGCACTCTAAAGGTCTGGTTCTCCTGTAGAAGGAAAGAGAGAATATTTGGATCATATTTCGCGTTGACTCTCTGAGATGAGTTTTATTATTATTGTTGCTACAGAATTTTACAACTGCCTGTATAGCAAATTGTTGGAGTCAACAATGTAGCTGGATTTAACACTACGTTCTCTCACAGGACAACACTACTGTATGTCCTCAGCCCTGCCACTTATCAAATCAAGAACTAATATATATACAAATATATATGTATATATATATATATATATATATATATATATATATATATATATATATATATATATATATATATATATATATATATATATATACATGTGCAGTGTTTTTTTTTACCTTATTGTTGCAGTATACGTCATTGTTGTAGTATCTGTTCTCGATTGTTTTTCATTAATTGTCGTGGTTCTTTAAGTTCAGTAATTTATAAATTATGGCGTTTTAAGCATTATAAAAAGGACTGTAAAGGCTTAAAATAGCATAAAGTCACTTGAGCATTCTCGTTTCTACCGCTTGAGCTACACTCGTGTTCTCCACTACGAACGAGGAAAGACTGGTCTTTTACGACGGATCCAACAGGAAAAAATCACTAAATCGAATGAAGTTACTTCCTGATTCCTGGAGCTATTTTAAGTAAGTAAGTGTGTAGATTTAGTTCATGAACCTTATTCTAATTCATTAGTTAGTGCTGATACATACAGCCTTATAAAGAGACTGTTGGGCCATGGTTAAGTCATTCTGCTAGATGACATCACCACTACTAGCCTCGGGCGACCCGCTACCCACCCACCACGGGTGTAATAATGTGTTATTTGTCTATCAATACTTCAGTGACATTTACTTCATTCGTATGTTCAACACGAATTGTCATTCTTGTTTCTACTGAGCTATTAGTTATAGTTATACATTAACGTACAGTACAACACAAGAGGAAAGAATCGCGACTTGAGAAAAATTGTTGTATTGGGTAATAACTGATAAATAACAACGTAAGCTAATACAGTACAGGAATGATAATGGCGATGACAACTAGCAGCACTCATACTTTTATATAACTTATCTTTAGAGCTTATGGTTTACCATTGTCTCTATTCCTGCACAGAGTATGTGTATGTAAGCAATGTAACATTGTAGCATGATTTTACTGAATAAATATTTATCTGTCTTTCTGCTAGATTCTGTCAGCTTACTATGTTTAATTTTTTGTGAACCTACACTGCCTACATTCTACAGTATATGCATGTTGAGCGAATGTGAACTCTTATAATGCTTTTACGGAATTACTTTTATCCTCTTCACCACTGATCGGTTCGTTAGCCACTTGAGTGATTGGTCACGTCTCTGTCACGCACTGTTGGCAAGTACTAGTCATGTACTGGCTCTCTGTTACGCAATGTTGGCAAGTACTGGGCATGCACCGGCTCCTGAATGTACCTGAACCTGCTCCATTGTTGGTCAAGTCTGGTCTTGAAAGAGCTCACACTCGGTGCTGTCACAACACTTTCTGGTAGATTGTTCCAAGAGTTCACAACTCTCACTCCGAAAAAGTTTACCCTCACAGTTTTCTGGACTTGCGGCTTCTTCAATCTTGAGCTGTGACCCCTTGTGGGGCAAGCGTCCGCCAGCTCCAAGTAAGGACACTCGACTGAGTAGTGCCCCTTCAGATGCTTATACACCTCATTTAGGTCGCCCCTTGCCCGTCTGTAGTATAAGCTAGGAAAGTTCAGGCGCTCCAATCTCTCAGGGTAGTTGAGGTGCCGAAGTGCAGGCACCAGTCTGGTGGCCCTCCTTTGATCATTTTCAACCAACTGACAGTCCCTAGCATATCTCAGGGACCAGACCGTTACGACGGACGGACCGTCTAGATATCTGAACGACCTTATAAGACCCAATAATTTATTTTCCTGATTTACTTTCTTCTCGCAATGGCCCGAGAACTTCAGCTCACTGTCAACATACACACCTAGGTCCTTCTCACATTCAGTCTCAAATAGTGCAGTTTATTCATCCCGTTGGGACATATGATACGTCTCCTTACCATTGGTACGCCCCAGGTGCATTCTCTTACACTTCGTGATATTGAATCTCAGCAGCCATTTTTCCGACCATTCCTGGAGCTCACAGAGGTCCTTCTGCAGCTCTTCACAGTCCGCTTGGTTCTCGATTTCCCGAAATAACTTGGCGTCATCGGCACACATTTGTATGGAGGAGTGTACAACGTCAGGCATGTCATTTATGAAACAAACAAACAACAGTGGGCCCAATACACTGCCCTGTGGTACCCTGCTTGTGACAGGTATACGGATGATGATTTCTATCCACGCTAGGACATTTCCCCGAATTCCGTACCCTTCCAGTTTGATTTTCAGCCTTTCGTGGGGTACACTGTCGATATTACCACTCCGTTCCAGAATATGGGTCCAATATCCAATACCTTGAGCAATTGTGTTAAGCAGGAGCGCCTCGGCATAAAACCGTGTTGGCAATCCTTCACAAGGTTGTTTCGTAGTAGATGTTCCATCGCGGCATCTCTGATAATACTCTCAAGTACTTTACATATTATGCTGGTCAGGCTCACCGGTCTGTAGTTGTTCGTGGAGTGACGATCGCCCTTCTTGAAGATAGGACTCACATAAGCCACTTTCCATTCACTGGGAACCTTCTGTTCATCCAGGCATTTACAAACCAGGATCTTTAGGGGCTCGGCAAGCTCGTTGCACAACTCTCTTAGCACTCTAGGATGGACCTTTAGCTTTGACAGTTTATTTATAATGCCCTCGTCTGTGAACACAATTAATATATCTATCCGTCCATCTACAATTTCTTCATTATATATCTATCTATCGACTTAGTGTTTATCATTATGTGTAACCAATTTTAATGAATAACCATTTATCTATACACTCATATATCTATCTACATACATTTCTATACTGTATATCTATCTATTTACGCGTCACTCTCCTACAGGCATGATCCCTGTGCTCCTCCTGGTAGTAAACAAACACCGTCTGCCGTCAGCGACACCGCCGTGATGCACAGGAGTCATCGAATAAGACATTTACTCAGAAATAGAAAATTTGGCATTGATTTTTATGTTAACTGTCGATGTTTGAGAACACAATGTGTGGCTCTTCTACCCAGGGGATGTCAGAATTACGAGAGAAAACTAGTGGAAAAAAAGGGAGAGGAAGAAACTTTACCCGAGACTGAGAGACCGAAAAAAAACGAAGTGAGTCGTAAGGTACATAAAGACACACGATCAATTGACAGCATTGATCCTGTCATTCTGAAATACACGAATATATTCAATGAATTACGTAATGTTAAGAATAATAATGAAAAAATTTACTCCACGAATTTTGGTAGTATTCGATTTGACAAAGAAAATGTGCCTAAGGTTCATGGACAGTATGACGATATGTATGGCCCCGCCGTAGATGTATTAATACAGGAAAGGTTATCCAACGCTGGTATTAAGTTTAATCAAACACAAGATATCGGTGATGAAGTTGAAAACTATTCAGTTCAGAAAAATGAGTTATATTTGCCACATTCATCTTTAACATCATCACAACAGGCAGCAGATATAGATAAAAAATCAGATCAGTCAACAAGCTCTAGTGAACCAGGGGATGTGGACTGTAGTAATAACATTGGTAATTATATTGATGATCTTTATTTTGCAGCAGCAACAGAGAAATGTTCCCAAACATCCCTTGATAGTGAAAGTACAGGAGCTGGCCATATTAGATCAACCACCAGTAAAGCTGGTAACACTGATTTAAATTACATAGATGACTGTGTATTTGGTGCTTCTGTTTCGAAAAACAACGGAAGTGATCACTCTACTGCAAGCATACAGGCTCAACGTCCTGCAATTACAAGTGATGTTAATGATAACCCACATAACCTCAATTATATTGACAATGTTTTCTTCGGTGGTGCATTTGACACTCTTTCTGAAAACCGTAAACCTACTGTTGAATTTAAAAAAATCAAAGAAGATTTGGAAATATCTCTTTTTGGTGAAATAAATACCAAAGAGAAAGGTGATGATGTGGTGGTCAAAGAAGAGGAAGATGAAAATTTTAATTTTGTGTCATCTCCGAGTCTAGAATCAAGGATGAATATTGCTCCTGTGACTCTTCCACATTTAACACACAATTCAAAAGAAAAGGAAGAACTTCAAAATAATTTAATGAAACAGACTAAGAAAGCTAAGCCTAAACCTCAGGATGTAGAAACAACACCAAAATCTGCTTTTGAATATGTAGTGAAGCAGAGGAAAGAGCAACACTTGAAGGAACATGGGGTTAATGTAGAAGAAGGAAGTGGAAAAAAGAAAAGTTACAAGAAAGTTTTAAGTTTGTTGAATGATAAGAGAAAAGATAGTTTTACTAAATATGAAGTTTTTAATTTGTTAAAGAATAGTATCATATATGATAACTGTAAGTAACAACAACTTTTTCTTGTTTTGTGTGCAGTTGAAATACTGTACAATAGTACCTGTACAGTACTGTACTTGTATATAAATGAACAGTCTTTTGTTTTACCTTGTGTTTTAATGAAGTATAATCCAAAATACTTGACCATTTATGGTAAGTGTTGCTGGTGTCAAATACTGCACTAGATTTAACCCTTTGGGTTGAAACTACCATTTCACTCAAATTTATTTAATACCCGTATTTCAAAATTTTCAGATGACATTATTGGTTTATACAAACCTTACGGAATGGTTATGCACCAAGGAACAAGTAGTCATCACCATGTACTATCAGAGTATCTTCCTGACCTGGCCATTCACTTAAAGAGTAATGAGCTGTATCCCATACACAGGCTTGATGCTAATACCTCAGGTATTGTATGATTTTTTTTTTAACATTCAGAAACAAAAGCCCAAAATTTATTGCTGTTTTAATTGTGTTACATTTCTTTCTTTCTTTCTCATTAATGTGGTTATTTTGCAGGAATTCTGGGTGGATTGTAAGTTGAATAGTGACATACTCCAAACAGTACGTAATTATATTAAGATTAAAGGCAATGGGTTTATTTCTGTACAAAACATCAAATAACATTGAAACATATGCCACCTAGTAAATTCCTATTGAATCTGGACTCACTGGACTGGGGGAGGATAGATCCAGGAAATTACACTAAATATGACATTCATTTTTTAGATTACGTTACTGAAAGCTTCCAAACGTGGATGATTGAAGCATGGTGTCTCATTTAAGAGTCAAGGGGAGGAGACAAGTGACCTGTAGCATGGGACATTCACCAGAGCAGCCCCTGATGTGCCAGGTGTACTGGCATGTTCCAATGCCCACTGCATGGGTTAATGCTTGTGATGAAATTCCTTCAATACAGTATTCCCAAAGTTTAGTTTATCAAGACAAAGGAAACATTATAAACTGAGCAAAAAAATAAAATATGGTTGATTTTATACATAAAAGTTAATGTCCCTGCAAACTTAGTTTATTTGAATACTGTACATATTGATTTGATAAACTAAAATAAACTGCTTCATTTACACAGGGTAGCAAAGCCTGTAGGTCAATTCAAGGACTTTCAGTAAGTAATTGAAAGATTCAGCAGATTAGGGAGTCCCACATACCAGCTCATTTTTGTCTATAAGGGTCATACACAACCTATTACACATGAACTACTTGTAAATTAATATTGAAAGCACCACATACACTGACCCTGTACAGTTTAAAAGAAATAAAAGGAGTGTATGGCACATAAACAAACCATCAGTAAAAAAACTAAGTGTAGAATAACAATTAACACTCTAGAAAGCTTCAACAAGAAAATTAATTACGTAATAGAAGGTGGTGAAAATCCTCTTGAAATAGCAGGAAACTGTGGGAGATTGAACTCATGCTCAATAGCTTAGCAGTTCAGGAAAAGGGAGTCTATCTCAGAGTTTCGGCTCAATGATGGTTAGTCCTTCCTGGCTCTCAAAGTAACCACTTCATTAGATGATAACATAGCATTAACAGTGGACAGAGCCACCTCAAGAAAGCAAGCTTATCAAGGGGTGCTCTAGTGAGATTATCACAGATCACTTGTTGGTGGCCAACAGGCTATAAAAGAAGCTACTGTAGTTCAACAGCTTCAGCATCTTTAAAAAACATTTTGTAAATCATAAAAAAAAACATAAATTATCTGTAAGGGAAGATGCTTACTAAATAAAATGGGTCTCTCTTTTTATCTTAGTTACATCCACACTGCTTTTTATTTGTAGAGCAACACTGTTTTGTACATATTCTTCGACAGCATTTTCATTAAGATGGCCACATCTATGCAGTATTATGAAAATGATTATCACCTGTTTTTTAACCAACTTCAAACTATTGTAGGAGTGTTACTACTGTCCCGCACCCCAGCAATGGCAGACACCCTAAAGCGAATGTTCAAGGAGCGTCAGCTAAAAAAAACGTACTGGGCTATCACTAAAGGAATCCCAAATCCACTTCAAGGTACTGTAATTATAAAGTACTGTTGTATTAATAAAAAAAAATATTATATTTATTTAACATAAAAACTAATTATCTTTTTCGGTTTGAAAATCAAGGAAATGTGCACAGTACTTGGTTAAATGATTCATAAAAATTCATATACATTATACTAGTTATAGATCAGATGTTAGGTTTCTGGCGCGGATGTGACATCCATCTTTAATATAAATACGTATACAATATATTATAAATTCCCCCACCTCTAGGTACCGAGTTTCAAACCTGGACCCAGAAGGGAAAATTTTTTAGTTTGGTTTACCTGTGTAGGTTACAGGTTCTGATTTATATATTACAGTACAGTGTTTCAGTGGTTTTATACAAAATGTAAGGTTCCTGTGGAACAAAAATATACTGTCTTAGCTTTATGTGTCCTAGTGATTCAGTGATACATCAGGATAAGCTTGCACTAATTTGTGTAACGTAAATTATAGTAGTTCATAGTAAGAAAAATAAGGTTTTTTTTTTTTTGCACCGTTTCAAGATAAATTTGTTTTGATTACTAAATATTTGTTAAAAAATCAACAAATGGTTTGGTGATCCAATCAAGATTTAACAAATGGTTTGGGCAAACTCAATCAAACCAGCCCCAGCACACCCTGGATGTAACCTCTTCTTGTGAAAAGTAAAAGTCCATTTCTTTCAGAGAGAAAGAAGAACCATCAGACATGAGAGAGAGAGAATGAGATAACTGTACAAGTGATAGGAAGATGAGCATATTTCTACTTTCATCCTGTTGATCCCTTACCCGTAGCACCCTCTTTCCCCTCTGCACTACCTTCCCCTAGCCCATCCTGGGTGGAAGAATAGGTCATATAGACAGAACAGGAAGATATAAATAGATTATTGATGCTGAACTCTGGCCCCAGTGGCTTTGAGAGCCAGGGGTATTGTTAGCCAGGTACTACCTTTTGGGAAGATATTGGAAGCATAATGTGTTGTCTAATGGTAGACCCTGCTGTCATATGACACCACAAAAATTTTGACCAAGTCCCAGGTTGCTGATCTGACTTTCTACCTCATTTACACACAATTGCAGGGTTTCAATTGTTTATCTTACTTTAACATCTAAACATACATATATCGTTTCTCACTACTGTACAGAGTATTGATCTGTTTTTTTAAGTTTTGTATTTATTAATATTTTTACCATATTACATTATATTTTTATTTAATGTTTTATTTTTTTTTTAATTTTTATTACCGAAATTATTATTATTATTATTGTTATTATTATTATTATTACCAGTATTATTATTATTATTATTATTATTATTATTAGTATTGTTCTTATTATTATTATTATTATTATTATTGTTATTATTATTATTATTATTATTATAATATTAATAATAATAATAATAATAATAATAATAATAATAATTATTATATTTTTGCCCCCAGGCCCTGATGTAGGTTGTTAACCTGTGCCCTAGTGGACTAATCCCGGTTTATAAAACAAAAAAAACAAAAAATCCAACATTTGCATCTAGATGTAGACTTAACATCCATCACTACTGTACACAGTAGAGAGCACAGTACAGCTCCTCCCCGACTTACAGCAGGGTTAGGGACCCAAATCCAGGTCGTAAGTCGAAAATGCTTAAATAATACATAGAAAATATCAAATGGGTGTTTCTTTTTCTTCTCAGCACCACAAAACTCTCACTTTTAAGCTTGCCAGCCATTTTAAAGTGAATTGCAAACGAAAATTTTGTCAGTACACAGCGCAATCACTGACGTTGGGACTCGAAAATACGTAATTTGACAAAATTTTGGTACGACTGAGGCAGGTCGTAAGTGCGGGTAGTCGTAAGTCGAGTAGGTCGTAAGTCAGGGAGGAGCTGTAGTAACTTCTTAAATCTGTGTTGTAGACCTGGGATATTTGATTAAAACTGCTTCACCTGTATTTTGTACTGCTCCTTTTTTCTGAAGACTTTCTGCCTCATTAAAAACTTGTCATGATAAAATTTTTGTGTAGAATATAATAATTTTAAGTACTGTACAATATATATATATATATATATATATATATATATATATATATATATATATATATATATATATATATATATATATATATATATATATATATATATATATATATATATATATATATATATATATATATATATATATATATATATATATATATATATATATATATATATATATATATATATATATATATATATATATATATATATGGTGGATACTACGAATATTCCTATAACGAACGGTTTTACCTATAAAATTGAGAATGCTATAACGAACGAAACTCCTACAACGAACATAATTTAATTTTTTTTTTTTTTCTAATTTATTGTTTTATTATTACAAATATTAATGATATTCTTTATTTCAGGGGTTTAGATGCATATTTATGCACTTTTTTACAATTTTATATTATATTTTTCAGTGTTAAGTGGTTGTATTTGGGGGCCTGGAACGGATTAATCCTATAACAAACGAATGCTATAACGAACAAGGTTCTAGAACCAATTAGATTCGTTATAGCATACCCCACTGTATATATATATATAGGTCCAGTATTAATGATTGTTCTTCCTTTTCCTTTCATTTATCTTTTTTCTGCAGTCTCCCTTTCTCGTGTTTATTCTGCTTCACAGTAGGTCTTAAGTTCAAGGAATGGTGTTGGTGTGAGCTGTATGCTGTTACTGTCTTCTCCTTTGTGAGGCCATTCATATAGCAGAGAAAACTTTTAATATCATTGTAGGTGTTGTTGACATACCAGTAGCAGAAGGTCTGATTGAGGAGCGGCGCCGCATGGTTCTCGCACCAGTTATAAAAGGAGTCAAGGGGCCCACCACCACCAGCCATGAGGCTATAACTTCTTTTAAAGTAAGAGAAGGCAGCTGAATCTGTCCCTAACAGTCATCATTCAGAGTATTTGAAGTAAAATTAAGATATTTTTGCTAATCAATCACTATCCACACTTTAAGAGTACTGTATAGATAATACTACACTGCACTGCGCCATGTCAAAAGTAAATTAATAAAATATAAAATAAAATCATAGTACTATACTGTATACAGTATTGCACAGTTCAGTACAGTACTGTACAGTATATCTGGATTTGGGAGCCATTCCTCTCTAAAATTATCCCTTATTTCTGGTTACTTGTGAAAAAATCTAGTCTGCCACACTGATTTCTGGAATGTGCCTGAATGAATGCTGGTACAAATGGATCTTCTGATAGTTTGATGTTTGCCTGTGTCCTGGGAGACCTTGATATGGCATATGATGTTAAAATCATAGATTATAGTTGGCATTGAAAGTAAAGAAGGGTGACATTAGAAATTTTAAAGAACTGCTTTGGAAAAATGCTAAGAGATAAGATCATAAGTGAAAAGGAAAAGGAAATGTAAATTTTGTTAAAAGAAATATGAAGCTTGGGATCAAACTCATGTCATAAGATTTCAAATGAAATACTTCCTCCCACTTTCATACTTACATATGACTGAAAATTGACAGGTATTGGCAAGATGTAACAGTACAGCACTTGTTGAATTGTCACCAACAACTGGAGTAAAGCACCAACTCCGTGTTCACCTTGGCTTTGGAATGGGTTGTCCAGTTCTTGGAGATCACAAATACTCACATCTCCGAAAGATGGCTCCTCAGGTGAGACTCTTACTCAAGTTGTAGTCATTTGTGTGGAGTAATAGATGTCAGAAGGGGCTATGATTTTGCACTGTCTTTGTCTCAGTCTTCATGATTTATGTGTTAAAGTAGAAAATCATTCCAAATTACCAGTTTAGAGTTGTGTGTAATTTTAACATAGATGGGATATTATTTTATATAGAAAGATACCAGTTCTTCATCTCAGATTTCAAGATCCCTCACATTTTAGTCACCATTACACAAGATGCATTTAACAGTTTGTTACATTTCATTATATTGTACTCCCTTTTGTAAACATTTTTATGCTCATACTGTAAAGGGTAGCAGATGGTGTTAGTCTTGTCTCTCTATCTGTAGAAAATGTTGATTCCATTGAATAACTGGTGTTACAGCAGTAACATGAGTATTTCTCTGTCAGTGTCCTGGGTTCAATCCTCAGCATGGGGCAGATATGAAAAGGGTGCTATCCAATGTGACTCTACCAATCATTGCAGGTCTCTGGGTACTCAAATTTCTTCTTGCACTTACATTGGACAATAAAAGTCACAACAAAAGAACAATCACCCCAAACAGCTCGTAAGCTGATAAGTGATGAAATGATAAATGAAATAGATAAACCAGAATGATAATGGTATTTAGTTTGATAAGGATAAATAGTGTTTTTCATATTTATTTACTAGACTTAAGGCCCCATTTTTATTTTACTTAAAAATTTGGTGGTGTCGATTACTGTGCATCACCTTCAGTGAGGTAACTTTTCCTGTGCAGAACAATATGTTTGCATTTGTGTTATTCACTGTATCTGTAGGTCCCAACACTTAAAACAGGACAGGATAGTAAACCCCAAACCAAGCATATTAAGTGAAACATTTCGACCAATAGGAATATAAACTTGCATGTCTTATTTGATTACTGTCTCTCTCTAATCCTTCATTCAGTCCTTCATCAAACCTGTAGTATCCCCATGTTGCTTTACATAAATCATAAAGTTCATTCATCATTCTTCAAATATCCTCTGTTGTCATTTGTTCATATTACTTTGATATTATTTCCTATATTCCTCAGCCACTCACCTCCTGATTATCTTGGCTTTCAAAGTTTATCATACATGTTTCGAGTCACTAAACCAACCATCTTCCCTTGCCTCATAAAATTTTGGCAACACGCAGGGTAATTCTTACAAATAATATTATACATACAGTGAGTTCTGCTATAACGCGAATTTGCTCTAACGCGATTTATGAATTAGGAACGATATTTGTATAACGCGAACGCTTGATTGCTATAACGCGATTTTTGCTTACTATTTCTCCAATTTTGTGGTATTAACTGTGAATATGGTAAAGAAGAATACCTCCAAGAAGCGTTCTGGTGATAGAATTCCCGGTGATGATCGTAAAAGAAAGGATATAACACTTGAAGAGAAGCTCGATGTTATCAACCTCAAAATCACCCTTCTCCCCCATCAAGTTACATTCATATTTTTTCAAGGTAAAGTGTTACATTTACTGTATGATTTCATTATTAGATATGAATGTAACATTTATTTAGACTGTGCTATCCTTTGTGTTAGGCTAACTACTAAATTTTTTCGATTTCGAGTAATGTGCACCTAACCCTATTTTCTCCATAAGCCCTGTTATTTCTATTACGCAATTTTCTATAACACGATATGTTACAAGAACACAATTATCGCGTTATAGCAGAACTACCTGTACAGTGCTTTCCAATATATATATTTTTAATTTGTAAGACAATCCTTCTCAGCTCTCACAAATGGTTATTTTTCTTTAAACATTTTCCTCTTGTTCTCAACAGCGACTTCCAGGCGATGCTTTGCACCGCCTGAAGATAAATCAGAGCAAAGTAAGAAACTTGCCGCTGTTCCTCCACTGCCGATCTGTTCTCATTCCTGAAATTGTAGATGGGAGGAATATATTTATTAAGGCTAAACTTCCAGCATTTTTCAACAAAACTTTATCTCTTCTTAAACTGAACAGACATCAAAGTATTGTGAAGTATGAAGACTGATGGAACCTTTACACCACTGGCAGCACTATTTCCCTATACTGTACAGGTACTGATTTTCTCTCTTGTACTATATTGAAATTACTTAGCTAATCAGTATCTTCGAAGATAAAGAAATTGGTTGTAGTATGTGTTACTTGTTGCCTTAGCAAATTGACATTCATATTTTATAGAAATTATACATGTACCATTTTGTTGTGTTTGAAATTATCCTTAAAATTTAATATACAGTACAGAATATTATGTATATTGTATGTCACCGACTGTGTGAGTTTGTAGTATTTACATTTTGTGACAATACAAACAGTCATTTTATTTCTTGGAAGGTGCAAAATCTTTAATTACCTCAAGGAGTAGTGACCTTGCCTTTGCCTGCAAAGAGAGTACTTGGGAGTCCTTCAGTCATATAATGCCCAATTCCCACTCTGTCAAATTGGGTTGGTGATAGCAAGGACATACAGCCATAAGACTTGCTTCAAATTTGTGTGATAGTAACCAGGGCACCATGCCATCAAGCAATCATCGGTAACACACACACAGGCATAGAAAATGGTTGTAAAATGATGATAGTGATTATTATAGTTTAAAACTTCAGAACAAGGTGTCAACTGAGAAACTTTCTTGTGACTTACCAGATACAGTACTGGACAGTTTTATTCCTTCAGGGATAAACATTGAAAATATTTATTGTCCTGAAAAATCAAGGATTTTACATATCACATATGAACAGTAGACAACTGCTGGAGGTAAAGGATTTAATGGTTCATGACATGACTAGCCTAACCTAACCAGTCATTATAATGACCTAGTCTTAATGGGCCTTAATCCTGGTGGTTAAGTAAGGCTAGGGCCTGTTGGGATAAATCCATTTGTCCCACAATTCCATTATATAATTAAGTAAGTAATAACATTCTTCACATTAGTGTCTGACTGTGTTTGATAAATTGAGATTTATAATGGGAGTTGTCACAAAACAACTACTGTTGGAAGAAAGGCAAATGCTACTTCTCTCATATCACTCCCATAACTGACTGAGACCAAGTCATGTTTCACCACAAGTCATATACAGTACTGTTCCCATACTGTGTTTATCAATGTGCGAGAAGAAAATATTTCTTGTGTTATCACCAGACAACATTAAGATTTCTCTATAAATACCTGTATATTGTTTCCCCCAACACCAGAATGACTGACCAAGTGAAAAGAAGATTCTATGTTTGGTATCTTTTTTACATGAGAGAAGCAGCAGAGTAAAAGTAAAATACTGTACAGTATATGGTAGTTACTATACTGTACTGTACTGTGTTGTATTACATATTTTTTAAAGTACAGGTTGCAAAATGCTATTCAGTGGGATGCAAGGTCTGAGCAGAATATGTATATACATGTACAGTATTAGTTACTTAGTAAGCATTATATTATTTACAATATGGTTATCATGATGTATTGTATGCATTACTTGGTGCCATTTGTGTATTTAGAAATTTAGAGAAAAATGGGTGTTTTCAGTTAAAAAGAGCAAAAACAGGCAACACAAAATGCATCTCAGAGAGCGAGAGAGACTGGGTGAGTTCTTATGTGTCACTCACATGACTCGAACGTGTCCAGGCCCAGAGACTCATCGGGGTACAGCAGAAGTCTCCCAGTTGTGTTTATATGTTGTAAGAGGAGGGCGTATATGGTTACTACTTGAGTCAGAAAATTTTTACCCTACCCCAAGAAAAGAATGGATTGTTTTATTAAGAGAAAAAAGATAAACAGATAGTCAGACATCAATTTCATATGCATCTTAAAAAGAAACACAATCAGGGAGGTTTATGAACTCAGGATAGAGATTCATTCTTTTCTTCTGGAAAAAAATCTGATGTGAAAGATTTGTTTTGTAATGACAATCGGATGATGAAACTGTCATATTCAGCAGATAATTTTTTCAATTCTAAATGATCTTAATTTGAAGCTACATTGAAAAGAGAATGATATGTTCTGACACTGTGAAGAAATCAAAATATTTCAAAAATAATTACTACCTGGTACTGTGGCAAGCCAGACTTCAGGATGATTGCCCAACACTGTATATCAATCTGATTTGTCTGACAAATTTTTTCATTGTTTTCCAGAAGAGAAGTTTTAAGTTTTGCAAGAAAAGCACTTGGTAATAGATCATTTTGCTTTTGAGATGCCCAAATTTATTGTAGGGTTGAAGTTGACACCTGAATAGGAAAATGAGCTGCTCCTCACACGTGACAGTTCATTAAGAATCAAGCATAAATCATCAACTTTGTCATCATTTTGGATTAGTGTTTCAAAAAAATATCCATTCATTAGTAAGATGGGTGTTTCACTGTTGCTTCATTTTACAACAGCTTACATGTGTGAAGCTGGATTTTCTACCCTGACTAGTTTAAAACCAAAAGAGGGAAACCGACTCAACAGTGCAGCCAATATGCATGTAGCACTATTATCGTGTAAACCTGATTGGACCAGAATAACAAGCAAGGGGCAAGCCCACCTATCACACTAAGCAGGTAAATTTCAAATTGATTTCTCAAATTTATGTGTTGCATGATTGAATTATGGAATGATTCTCCTCAAATTAATGCATATGTTTAATGAGTCCAAAGCCTTAAAATAGCAAACCTGTTATTTTGCTGGAAATTCCCTGTCATATTTTTTTCATTAGAATAGACACAGCAATGGGGTTGTGTGTTACATGAGGTTGTGGGAAAAATAAAATTGAACACTGCTGTATGAAATAATTATTTTCGTAAGTGTTAGTTCCTCTATACAGGTTCAAAGTAATATACTATGTGAACTTATTAGAGGTATTGAAGCATCTGTCTATTTAATATACTGGTACCTTACTTCATTCATAGTAATGTGCAGCTGTCTGTACAACTTGTGGTGTCAGAGTGAAAGAGAGGCACCAAACATCATTATTCTAAATGTTGGTGTGGCTGTCATTAAATGAAATTGTTGCCAGCGACTGACATTAAGAATACAGTATGAGTGTAATGGAGAACACATGAAAGATGACTAAAATGAATTGTTGTTGTTATCCCCTGGTTACACTGATCATGTAGAGCTGCACTGTTTAGAATGTTACATTTTTTTGAAAGGTTTAACATGTGTAACAGATGGCCAGTAGAATATGGCTGGAGATAGCTAGATGGAAAAGAGAAATACCGTAGCTTCAGTACATGCAGGATATATATCAATCACTCAGGGTACCTGTTCCATCCTCACATCCGAGGGTTGGCTTCCACCTTCATCCACTTTAAACGTTCCTGAGCTGATTTTACCAATCCTCGAAGGTTTTGTATCTCTCTGGGGATACATTTTTTTATTTCATTCATCCTTCCCAGTCTCTGCTTTCCCCTGGTCCTCCTACCCTCAACTTTACCCATTAATATTTGTTCTTATCCCCTCATCCCTAATTATATGACCAAAGTGCTATACAGTATCTCATTGGTTTTTTTCTGTGCATTTCAAGTATTTGTCTTGAAGTTTTTGCTAATCTTGGTACTTATTCATTTGTTTTCATGTCAGTGTATCTTATTCATAGCATTCACCTATAACACCACATTTCAAAGGTCTCCAACTTCTTTTTGCCGTCTGCTGAAAGTGTCCATGCTACTGACCCATAGTCCATGCCATATAAAGCCTTTCAGCAGCCTTTTTCTCAGTTTGAAGTTATTGTCCCTTTTCATAAGGTCATTTAGTTTATGAAATGCTGTATTTGATTGCCTTATTCTTGTTTTTATTTCTTCCGTACATCAACCATCACCGCTAATGTTATTTCCCAAATACTGTACACAAAATTTTCCACTTGTTTAAGTTCCCCGTTGCCTACCATAATTTTTATTTTTTTAATTTATTTTCAATTTGGAAACAACCATTACTTTAGTCTTTACAGCATTAACTCTTAAACCATATTTTTCACCTTTTTCCATTAATCTGTTAACAGTAAGGATATTCAGAATGGCAAAGTTAAAAAGTAAAATACAGTACTTACTGAATACAGTTTTATTTATAATAAAGCTCTTTACTAATTGGCCCCAGAATTATCAAGTGTAATTATGGCTCTCTTTTTTTTAAAGAATGAAAATTTCTAGAAAGAGATAAACAGTAGATAATGCTTAATATGGTGGTATTTTGAAAAGACTAAAATTGGGTTGTCAAATAAGCAACAAAATGTTTGTATGTCCTCTAGCAGATACAACACAGTACTGTACTGCACTTAAATTCTGTTACAATTTTTTTTTTTTTTATCCTAATTATTGGTCATAGTAAACACTTCACATTCTTTTTGTATATCCAGGACTTTTCTTAAACCTCCAGAGGGTTCAGGCATCCCTTGAGTTACAAAAGGGTTACGTTTCTGAAAAGTTGTGCATAACTCGAACATCTCTATCCGCGAGCAGTAGTATATAACTTGCATACTTAAATCTGCTGGTACCTGTGTTACCTGTAGCTTTATGAGGTCTCACAAACCAGGAATCCTCCAAGTAAAACCGACCAAATTTTAAAAGATTCAACACAGTAATGTACTACTGCTCTATTGCACCAAATAACTTAACAAGTAAAATTTTTATTATACATCAATAAACAAGTGAACAGTCAATCTGATTTAATATCCAAGAAATTAATACACTATCTAGCAATAGCAGGATAGAGTTTGCATTTTAGTGAAGTAACTTTTTATATAATATTGATAACTCTACCCTGTGAAAGGCTTCAGAGGTAGTGTATGTATTAAGAAACATACAAGACGTTGGCAACAGCCTTGTAAAATAGAATACAGAACAGTATTAAATTAATTTCACTGCCAAAAAATTGAGTTGTGGAAAATTTGCAGTCATCATCACTTCCACACACCTACCATCACCCTCACCACACACATAACATTACCACCAACACACACCTTACATTACCACCAACACACACCTACCATCACCCTCACCACACACCTACCATCACCCTCACCACACACATAACATTACCACCAACACACACCTACCATCACCCTCACCACACACCTTTACATTACCACCAACACACCTACCATCACCCTCACCACACACACACTTACATTACCACCAACACACACCTTACATTACCACCAACACACACCACCTACCATCACCCTCACCACACACATACCATCAACCACTCACCACATACATTACCACCAAC